AGAAACGTTGTTAAGCTTAGTTAATTATGAATGAAATCAATAATTAAAATCGTTAAGAAACTTTTAATACCAGACTAAGTGACTGTTGATACTTTTAACGGCTTACCACTTCTTATCGTGTCGAATGTTTAGCATTTGTACAGAGAAAAAATATATCCGGAGCTACTGTGCTCACTCGTTTCGACAAGTGGCTCAGTACATTTGCCATGATAGCGTTCATTTGTAGTAGACATTGAACAAGGACGACAACGACACAAATGTATTCTGATTCGAAGTTGTTTTCGCTTTGGTACATACAAAATTCAGTTTTAAGCATTTGTTTGAACGCCGGCTAATGATATTGGAAAAATTGATTTATATTTTACTGAAGAGGAGAAAAAACTACATCAAATGGGAATCGTCGTCGTCTTACACTTTTGTGGAAAATCTCTTACTCACTCATTTGAATATTTAAATAAGTTTTTCAAGTATTTCTCACTCATCTCTTAAAAGTTTGTGCAGATGATTTTGGCATTTTGTCCATACACATGATCGAAGTGGATGTTTCGAATTGCGTAAAGCTGGAAGTCGGTCCGTCGATTGAATGCAAGTGAATGTGTGTGAGTGTCAATCTGTGGCCGAGTTTTGGTCTTCCTCGAAAACGACGGAATTTTCTTTTGATATATAGCACTGACTCGTTTGTCTTGTACTCGTTTATACATTTTTTTCCCCCCCATCGCAAGTTACAAGAGCAATAACAATTGAGAAAACTGCGGACAAGACCGAGCGAAAGAGTTTGATAAATTTCAAGGCTACTTTCACAACTGTGTGAATAGTCGTCATTCTTGCTAGCCGCCCTTTCGATTCGTTGACGCTCCCTCTTATTCATCATTTCCATGGCATTTTCTCTCCGCTCAAGCAGCATCACAACCATCGACGAAGTCGAGTACAATTCCGACGAGATATCAGCAGGACAATGTTTTACGAGTGAGAATGAAAGTGAACGAGAGCCGATTGCGAGCGACTCTTTTGTGTACGTTGAGAGAGGAAGAGAGAGTGGTGAAGGCGAGGTGATAGTAAAAGCGTCTACATAGTGTTTTAAGCGCAAAGTGTGCACAATAGCCATATATCCCATATCTATTATAATTTATGTGTGTATAAAATTTTCGTGTTCTCGTTCCGTCAACGCATTCGTTGCCAACATTGTACTATGTATCAACTACACTTGAAGCAAATAAATTTTATGGAATAGAAGCACAGCGCGCTACGACGAACACACACACACACACACACACACACAATATAAACGCATAAGCATCTGATCTGAAATGATGGGCTTTTATTGTGTCGATGTTGGTCAGTGTGTGCATGTGAACGAGCGCAGCTTCATCTATAATGCTGCTGCTGCTGCTACTGGTTCATCACTCGGCACGAGGAAGTTCACTTTTATTTTTATTATATTCAACGTGATGTGTTTTTCAGTAAGTGAATGGCTCGAGGTATATGCGATAAACGTCTGATGGCATTGATATGATGAGCGAGCGAGTGTTGCGTCGTAAATGGCATACAAGTTCTTTTCTTCTTCTTCTTCTTCTTCTGTGGAAAACGAAACAAACGCAGTTTTTGCTGATGCCATTTCCACATCAAATGCCCATCCACATACTTATATGTGAACGTGAACAACTGATGTGAACTGTGTTTGTGTGCATATGCGAGGTCCTCAAGCGCACGATACGCAGAACGTGTGTAGTGTCCAACACATTCTGAACCGATTTCATTATGCAAAATTTTAATGAATACAAATTACATGGTGAACTTGCGTGATTTGTCAAAGTCAACTTGATGAAGACATTCTTCATGCCGTAGATACATCTTAAATCAATTACGCCATCTTCTAAACTTCACTACGATTTTCAATGAGTTAATCCTTTTCACTCTATGTTCTTCATTTCCACGTGCCGAGATGAAAAGCACATGTCGAACGTTAGATATTCGAGAAATATCCAACAAGTTACAATTTTTTTTAGGTCATTTTAACGTCTTCAATTATGGACATAAACTAATAGAAACCAAGTTCACGTAGTTTTTCTTCAACTCTATTGGACGGAATTTTCTCTTCTTCCATTCTCGCAGCATCGATTTGTTGTGGAACATGTGTGCCGAACAGCCAACAGAAATTTTCACTGTGCGTTAGCATCTATTCCTGTTTGATTCAACGCAAATTCACGTCGCTGACTGGGCACGTCTCTGCGTGAATGTGTGTATATGTCTCTCTGCAAAACTGGACGTGGGCTATTTGATATTCTCCAAAAATAAAGTACGTTACATTTTATATAAATTTCAAATTTTCTCCCTCCGGCGCTTCGTTCATTCAGGAAAAAAAAAAGGTCTACACACATTCAACGGCCATCTCTCTCCCCCCGTTCGCTTATGTATTCTGAATTTCGTCCAACGCACACACGAAACAGTTTTTGCGAAAATCATGTAAAACACATTCGAAGCGATAGTGAAAAGCGATATGAAACGTAAGATAATGCGTAAAATACATAGAGCCAGGACCAGTTGAGATAAGGTGAAATATAGCAATAAAAGGGGAGCATGTGTATTGCTCTTTTTAGCTGGACATTGGTACGAATTCGGTGTTGTTGTTTTTTCTGTGCTGTATGTGATGATGGAAAATTTACATAACTCTTGTGCGGAATAGAAGATTATGTGTACTTATGTGTGTTGTGTATGCATACGGTCGCCCTGGCAGCAGTAGCCGGAGAAGCAATAACAACAGAAGCAGCAGCAGCAGAAGCACACATAATTTGTACGATACATAGAACCAGAAAGAATCGACCATCAATTCTTGCCCCGTTCTTAAATAATGTTTTAATGTATGCAAAATAACTAATACATAAAACACACACTAGACAAGCGCACCCGCACACAACCGATCGATATTTGATGCTTTTCTCTCGTTTGTTCGTTCGCTCGCTCGCTCGTATAAGTAGTGCGTGTATTTGGAGATTTTAGAGACAAGCAAGAAAATCACAAAATTGTGTGATGGTCGACAAAAACTAAAGATTTCGTTACCATGCAATCGACGTCTGTTTGCATTTTGAATTCAATCAATATTCTTCTATTCTAATTCGATTTTCACTTCTGGCACAAATACCAGATCACGATTTGCGAGCAAATATATAAATAAAATTGAATTTGAACCATGGGTAAGAGAGAAACTGAACGGAAAATGCGAAAAACTGCTGGCTCGAGCACACAGATGCAAATAATGTAACATCATGGAATGGACAAATGTAATGAGAAAACGAAATATTTGGAAATAGAGAATCGCACAAACTTGATTTAAAATTAACTTATTTATGGAAAAACGGGTGGAACTGAAAATCATGTTCGCAAAACGGAATATTGCGAGTGATCATGATTTGAAAATGCTGGAAAAAAAAACGTTCAACTTGGAACGGAATGTTGTCAGGAGACAGAATCAACGGTCTAAGCAAGACATCCTCCTATCGTAAACGAAAATAGCAGACGCAGACAAGATTCAAAGAAATAATTTCAAACACGTCATTTTAGAGTTACATGAATTTTCACTCCGGCTAGAATATTGCCGCTTGAAGTAGCACTGATGTGATGTTATTCAACGCACTGCGTGCAAATGAATATCAAAAGCAAGAGAAACTCAAGGGGCATTTCACTTCTTGTATTAGCCGAATGAGATGTGAATTGGAATCTACTTGAACTCTCGTTTGATTTACAAGTTTTGTTTTCATTATCGAGTTATTTCAAAGGGATAATTCTAGAAAAAACGCGAATAATTCTAAGAGTTGATTCTAAACAACGCACTGATAAAGTTTAAATCTTTATATTTGCTTCATTTATATCTAAACTTTATACGCTCTCGCCGAATTTGATATGCTCCAGTCTTTTGTTATCTCGCCGCCTCTATTGGTTCATAGCTAATATTCCACGTTCCGCGTACCGCGACCGTATCTCAACCCCTGGATGAAAAGCACTGTGTAATAAGTGTGAAAGTGCGTCCGTCGTGCATTTACATAAGCGCAAATGAACAAGTAAACAAGTAAACAAAGTCGTTGTCAAAGCATTTACAGAGCCATTTTTCACACGTTCAACATTGAAACAATCATGTTTAACGTTGGTTTATCAGAATTGAACGAGTTAATTACCGAGAAAATTTAATTAGGCGTCTATGTTTGTAGCATAGCGACGTCGAGCACACCAATTTTATGTGAAAGACTTTTTGAGCCGAAAATTATTCGACACGAGCAATATCAAACAGGAAGAAATATGTCTGTCAATGAAGAGTGACTACTTAAACAGTGGCTGATACAGGTTTTCATTTGCGCGACAAAATATAACAATCTCCGCTAGACCAGACAAAAACAATAAGTGATTTTATGACAAGTGCGTTCAATTTGTTTGTGAAACAATTTATTTTTTAAGTAAATGAAATTTGCACTGCGAACTCATACTATGGTGATTGTAACATTTATGATAAGAAGATATTATGAACGGGTAATAACCATCGATCTCGTTCAATTTATGTGTTGATTGGAATCAATAAATTGTTGATCAGTTGTAGATTGAAGCATTTCTTAACGAGCAAATGGTTCATATATGCACGGAGAAAAGAATGGATCAAACAGTGAGCAGTTTTACCATTTTTGATTTCTTCATTAATATTTTTCATTCCATTAAATTCTCTTCATTTTGGATTTTAGACTTCATCAATCAAAAATCACTAAAATAAAATGGGAAAAATCTATAAAAGTTATGAATATAATAAAATCCATACGTTTCGAAATCGAAATCGGTTCACAGCTTGAAATAGCAACTGTTGGAAGAAAAAAGTCTCTCACATTATTCCTACTGAAGCATCATCAAGCAATAAACTTTCAACAGACCATTTTCTGTCGTCCGCTTGAAGTGTTTACCGAAACAAACCTGTCAAATGTGATTTCCAACGGTTGAACAAGCGGGAAAGAGACATCACCATGCGCGAATTGTCAGTGTTCTAGCTGTCAAAATATAAGGAAAGTGCGAAAAATACTGAAAATGTCATAAACGGAATGACCATCAGGATAAAAAAATTACAATTCTTCGGTCGTAGTAAATTGATAGCGATACATTTTTTTTTTTAAATAAATCATCACAAACAATGGCTGGATACAGAGAGTATGCTGAATTAAAGTAAGTGAATATTTATATAGCACAAAATGTATCCCCAACAACAAAGCACATTGACTGCAGATGTTTTATGGTGTAACATTGAACTTAGTATGATGTAATTTTGTTTTGGTTCGGCTCGGCACATTTGTGTGGTGTAATTGTAATTGATCATTGACTTTTCGTTTATTCTATTGAAGCAAATACGTAAACGATGGATTGGATGATGATTTGGATGACATCGACCAAATCGATCATGTCGACTATATAAGTCGCTATGAACTGGAGCACTTTGGTGTGGGCCGTGTGGGAGAAAAACGACCAGAAACCCAACGAAGTTTCAATCACGATTTTACACAATTCAACGAACCAGACTCGTCAACGCCGCTTAATTACAAATATGTGAAATCGACACGTGATCTCACGCTGCCACTGCAAAAACATCCGAATGCAGCACCAACGTATGAAAGTCCAGAAGATGAAGAGCTAACGCTTCGTAAATACCTTGGTGTGTCGGTCGGACTTGTGAGTTTGATCACAGAAAATCTCTTAAGCCATCCGTTTGTTGTGCTACGTCGACAATGTCAAGTGCATCATAGTTCTTTACGGCGACATTTAGTACCGTTTACACTTGTACCTGTTATTGTACATTTGCATCAGCGACAGGGTGTTACAACGCTGTGGAAAGGCTTGGGCAGTTGTTTACTCGTGCGTGGCATGTCATTGGCGATAGAAGACCTGCTCACGAAAATCACTCCATGGCCGAAGTAAGTGAATTTCGTCCAAATTCATTCTTAGCATTAAAAAATTTTTGTTTGTCGCATTTACAGAGAAGTCACACATAGAACAACCTTGAAGAAGTTTGGTCAACATTTGATACTTAAGAGCATCAGTATCGCCGTTGTGGTACCATTTTATGCTGCGTCTCTCGTTGAAACGGTACAAAGTGATATTGCCAGCGAGAAGCCGGGAATTTTTGATGTTTTTCGAGAAGGATGTACACGCTTGCTGGCTTTTCACAATCCGCAACGTGGTCGAATGATACCAATTTGGGCATTGATTGGACCAAGTGTCGCAATGGGCATATCAAAGTATATTTTCGGGTAAAAAACACTTCCACATTGCCAAAGTTTGAAATTAAAATAGACACCATGGAGCTAAAAAGTTATATCATCTGTTTCAGACTTACCGTGAAGAGCATTTCAACGCGAATCATGCAGTATCGCCTACAGAATTCACAAGAGCAACGCGGTGCTCGGCCAAAAGATTTTGAAAGTGATCAACATAACATTGAAATCTATTCGACGCTATTATCCATCATGTCGACAGAGGTGTTGTTTTATCCCTTTGAAACGATTTTGCATCGATTGCAACTGCAGGGCACTCGAACGATTATCGACAATTTGGATTCAGGATATTCGGTTGTTCCAATTTTAACCAACTACGAAGGTGCGGCCGATTGTTACAAATCGACGATTGCCAGTGAGGGAGTTTCTGGACTGTACAAAGGCTTCGGAGCTATGGTCTTACAGTTTGCTGCCCATTATGCCGTAATCAAAATAACAAAATGGATTGTAACCCAAGTCATGGAAGTGGTGGCCAACAAACCGCCACCAAAAATTACAGAATTTTACAATCTCAATTCATCGATAATAAGTACACCGATTGACGGCGGCGACGGTGACCATGAAATTGAATCAAACACAATTTCCAAAAGCATAAGCTCATTAAGTGTTGAATAGTCTGTTTCGAAAATTGTTGTTTGTACATTATCTTATTTTTTTTTTTTTGTCTTCAACATTGTTGATATATCCCTTCGTTTCGTTTGTTAATTAGTTAATTTTACAAGCTAAATTAATTCAAACCAGAATGATGAAAATTTGAACACACGAAAAAAAAACCTAGATCAATAAAAACTGCGATAACTAAATTAAACATTAATTTTATGGGGCATTTTTTCATTTACATGATTTGTTTCTTCTGAAGAAATCCAATTTAGCGTGTGTCAGTCAGCAACGACACGAAATTGCATTCAGCGCCAATCGGGCTAACCTCAACACTTGCAATCCATACACATTTGAATGTATTGGTGTGCGCTTGTCACATCTCGACTGACATTGTGTGTCAAACAGCAGCGTTCATAAAACGATTTGAGCAAAGCCTGTAAACAAGTCGATTTATAGCGTCACACATTTGTAGAAGTTTTCATTTATTTTTAAAGAAAGTTTTCAACCAAAATCACAAACACCAAACATGTCGAAGGCACATCCACCAGAGTTGAAGAAGTAAGTATTTGCTGTGAATTAAAAATCAACATTTTTCATAGAAAATGCAATTTTTTATATTTTGAGGTTATGTTATCATTGACCGTACACCTTTTGTCTGACGCAGAGTCTTTCTAAAAATGTTTTTTTTTTCTTTCATGTTTTAGGTTCATGGACAAACGCATGATGTTAAAATTGAACGGAGGACGAAGCGTGTCTGGAATTTTGCGCGGTTTTGATCCTTTCATGAATGTAGTCATCGATGAAACTGTTGAAGAATGCCGAGACGGAACCAAAAACAACATCGGAATGGTGGTATGTACTCTCTAAATTGAAACTGTATCCTCTTTCATGACTTTTTTCTTTGTGACTTTATGAAAATGAGCAGCTAACACAATTTTTTTTACACAATTCTCAGGTTATTCGTGGAAATTCAATTGTGATGGTCGAGGGACTGGAGAGGGTGTGATGGCGGCGAATGTTATTCCAGATCTCATTCGTCGAACATGAAAGATTTTGATATTCAAAACTGATGGAAAATAAAGTACATTTTAACTTAATTTTGAGAGTTGGTTTCTTTTAAAATAATTTTAATTACATTCATAGGTAAAGAATTCATATTGTCTAAATAAAAAACACGAATTATTCCACACTAACATTCGTCCATAGTGTACTGAATACAAGCAGTTTCAGGCATTTGCGCGAAAGTTTCAGTATGAGAGATTGCTGGTATCTCATGGCTTACGGATTCAAATTTTGTAAGTCGGCTTTTGTTCGATTTTTCAATTTGAACACCATGGGTATTCTTCTTGTGATTGTTGAGCAGATAAATTTGAATGAACGATGCTTGACAAAGTTCGCATTGAAATCGTTCACCCGTGTGACGACGAATGTGCGCTTTCAAATCATTGCCTTGGGTGAAACTTCTTGAACAGTGTGGACATTGGTACGGCTGTAAAATATAGAAGGAAAAATTTGAAATTTAGTAGACAAAATACGAGGCTTTTATAAATTCTGCTATATCACCTTTTCTCCAGTATGGACTCGCATATGCACGGTTAGGTTATAAGCACGCTGAAACCCTTTCCCACATAAATCACAGGTCTAAAATGAGTGGAATCAAAGAGATTCTATAGCGAATTGTCAATTTTGATACGGTATTTTTAGATCATTGTCTTACATGCTTCTTTTCATTAGTGTGGTATCTTTCGTGGACTCTCAAATCGGTGGATCTGGGAAAGGCGCTCTCACAAAAACGGCATTTATAAGGCTGTAAAATGAAAAATTTACATAATAAATCTATTTCGTGGGCTTTTCGCATTTCTCGGAATTGAGATATAACGACTTGATGTCGTGTATTTGGCAACATATAGACTATGATACTCAAAATGTCTATAACCTTTGCTGAAGTCTTACCTTTTCACCGGTGTGCCGTCGCATATGAATAAGAAGATAATCATTGCGAATGAATCGCATTCCGCACTCAGAGCATAGGAAAGGTCGTTCTTCATTGCTATGCGTTTTTATGTGTTCAGTGAGCTCAGATTTCGATGTGAATTTGCCATCACAAGTTTTGCATTTGAATGAAACTTCGCTATGGGATTTTCGGCGGTGATGATTCAACTCCTTGGCCGTTTTCGCAACATAATCACAATCGGTGCATGCAAATGTTTTCACCGTATGTCGATTTAAAATATGACGGCGAAGATGTTCCTTTCTTCCAAACGACCTTTGACATTGTTGGCATGTGTGCAGTTTCACTTTTGCATGATAGTTTTGATGAATTTTCAAATGATCAGCTCGACGGAATTTCTTATCACAACTTGTGCACGCAAATGCACGCTCGTCTGTGTGTATGGTCATGTGGCGTCGGAGATGTGTTTTCCGTGAAAATATTCTATCACAATTGTCACACTGATAACTTTTTGTTTGGATTTCAGAGATTTCATTTTTAACTTTATTTATGTTTTCTGTCTTTTCTTCGGTTATTTCATCGGTTTTCTCCCCGAGCTGTAAATCAAAAAAACTTTCAATATTTAAAAATACCAAAGAAAACTGAAAGTACTAATTAATGGGTGAAATGCTTTACCTCAACCTTTGAAATGGGAAAATTTCCAAATGCGTCATTTTCAATCATTCCTTCTGTGCATGCAAATGACGAAGTTTTCTTCGTATGATGACTTGAAATATGCCGGCGAAAGTGTAAATTCCGTGGTTTTGCATGTTTGTTTTCGTGAATTTTCAAATGATCAGCTCGTCGGAATTTCTTATCACAACTAGTGCACGCAAAGGCACGCTCGTCTGTGTGTACGGTCATGTGACGAATGAGATGTGATTTCCGTGTAAAAGCTTTATCACAATCATCACACTGATAGCTGTTTGATTTGGTTTCAGAGATTACATCTTTGCTATCATCTGTTTTCTCTTCGAGCTGTAATTCATAAAATATCCATTCAATATTCAAAAATTCCAAAGACAACAAAAAAGTACCGATTTATATCCGAAATGCCTCACCTCAACTTTTGAAATGCTAATGTTTTCCAACGGCTCATTATCAATGATTTCTACTGCACAAGCAAATGTTGTCTCGACGAAAATCGGTTTTTGATTATCTAACGGTGGCTGAAGTTCGATATTTTGTTCATCAAGTCCATTGCTGACAGCGTTAAGTCTCATCAGTTGTTCGCATGCAATCTCACATCGACACTTAAACTCAAATGTTGCTTTCAGATCATTCAAGCACTGCTCACATATTCTATCTGGGTAAGGAAAATCATTTGAATTCTGAAACAGAAAAAAAATATCATCAAATTATCAAAACATCAAAATATTGAATTTTCAAACATATATTGAATGAATTACGTTGACAAATTGTATACAAACATATTTATTTTCGGTCAGTGCATCAAGTATGCTGGATATTTGTATTTGATTGGATTTTGTCACAATATTTGTGTCGTCACGCTGGTTCGGTATTATGTTTGAATATATTGATATTAAATTGGTATTCGGTTCGATTAAACAAATTCGACAAATGCAAAAAATGTCCATTTTCCAACATCAAAATATAAACAATGCCAATTCAATGTGTATGCAATTGACTCGATAGCCCAATAAAAATCGTATCTCCTTAGCCCAAAAATTACGATTTGAATCAATATGTACTCAGTGTGTCTGTGTGTGCGTGCGTTTTATTTGACAACAAACTGAATAAACAATACGATTGGCGCTATGCATACACCACAATATGAAGTTGGCTGCGCTTCGCGTTCGGTTCATCAGTGTTAGAATCGTTGAACTGTCAATGTGTTTATGAAGCAATGATGCGAAAACAGCATTTTAAACGAGTGAGTGAGTGAGTGTGTGTGAGTATTTGTTGCGCGAAAAAGACATTTTTTTCTCATCGCTATTCCGTCAAAGTTCAACTAAAATCGAGTGAAAAGAGAAAATTAAACCGAGCAAATAAATTGTGCTTCATCAATTCAGTCATGTATATCATTCAGTGTGCGATTGAATGACAAAATTTTCACTGGAAAAATCCGCCAATTATTGAGTCCAATTGAAAATATTTCGAAGGAGTGTTGATCAGCCATTGAAGCGACATAGTGTTTACAATTACATTAGTATGCCAAGTTCAAGTAAATGTTCGGCCACAAATGAACCGACCGCCATTGTATCTGAAATAAGTAAATCGAACCATATCACGATCAACGATAACGGCATAAAAGCAATCACCACCAAAATACCGACACACAAATTTTATGGCGAACAATCGGTGCCGTCGTCGTCGTCGTCGTCGTCATCATCATCGTTACTATTAACGAAACAGTCCAAAGCTGAACAAACAGATAGTAAAAAATTGACTAGTAAACAAAATGACAATTGCTGCAACTCATCGTCGTCGTCGTCGAATGGAACAATGACTGGTAGACTGAGGAACATCCGAACGGATGACGAGGTGCTCGTTCGATTCGATGTTGAACACTTTTATTTAGGCATAATTAAAGAGATCCAAGACGGTTTGTTGCTCATCCGGTTCGCAGATGGCACGGAAAAATTGGCAAAACCCAGTGAAATAACCAAATTGAACGTGAACACAGATGAGGAACGGTCATTGTGTGTAGTGTGTAAGGAATATGATGAAATCGTGCAAGTATGTTCACAGTGTCAACGTGGTTATCATAAAAAGTGCATTAAACTTTCAAAAAGTGATGAATGCTCGACCACCAATTGGTACTGCCACAAGTGTTCCGTCACGTTGGTCGACACGAATGAACGACCTGCCGTTCAAACGGCAACAACAGTTGCCAAGATACAAATTCAAGAGAGTTGCTATTGCGATGAAAAAGGCGAATGGTTCATGCAAATGTTGCAGTGTGCGAGATGTCTTCAATGGTTCCACGCCAAATGTATTAAATGTCTCAATTTCCCACTGTACTTCGGAGACCGGTATGGAAGAAAATTTATCCAATTTTCCCTATTATATAACACCTATGACAATCCGGTTCTATTTCATTTGTCGAACGTAATTTGTTTTCCATCAATTTCTAGATTCTATTTATTCGCATGCGCTAGATGCAATCATGGTGTGGAATTTCTACGACGATTACACATGAACATAGAAGAGGTAGTGCATTTGTTGCTGTTTAATTTAACGCTACAGTTTAGAAAACGATACTATAACTTGACCAACGTGATATACCCATATGCACGAGATAATTGGCTTGCATTGCAATTACCGCCCAAAGTGAGTTTCATCGAATATTGTCATGTGAAGCAGTTTTTTTTTTTTATTTTGATTTTACTCCAATTTCCAATATTCGTGATACAGCTGAAAAATATGATGCTGAGTGACGTCAAGGATGAAATAATGAAGGCGTTGAAAGCCCACACAGATCGCTTCAAACCAGGTAGCGAAATAAAGAAGAAAATTCTCAACTGGGCATTAGTATCGCGCACACCGCCCAAAGCACCAAACATTGTACTGCCACCCGGACCATTATTGACTGAGAAATACATTAACGATTTGTTCAAAGAAGAAGCTAGAATCAATTTCATGGCACAAAATATGTAAGTGAAAACAATTGTTTATCGATGAAACCTTATTGATTATACTCTAGCAAAAGAAAGTCCTTGAATATGTTTAGTAAATAGTTCTATATGTTTTGCATCTAAATATAATTTTGTGCACAATTTTCTTCCTTTACATTTCAGTCACAATCCGTCGGAAGTAACATTTAACGACGCAAAAATCAAGGATTTGATGGCTGGTAAGAACGTTGCATCGCATATAAACACATCTGAAGACAGTTCGGACGATATGGATTCGGGTGCATTTAGTTCAACATCCGACGAAGATATATTCGCCAATTTCAATATTAAAGATGCAATCAGCATACAGACCAAAAACTCTAACCAAGAAACCGAAACGACAACAGTATTTAGTGAAAAACCAGTGAAAGGACGCAAATCAAGCCAACCACAGCTCGGACAAAGTGAAAAATCCAATGACACTTCACTCGATTTCAATTATTCTTCGGATGACACATTCACACTGGACGCCATTATTCCGCCGCCAAAAAATTTCTCTGGCATCAACAATCCATTTTTGATTGATACCAATGCCTGCCACGATAGCCGTTCATTCGGTGCTGCCACTTTGAATAAGTGTAATACACTGGTAAAGTGTACGACAAATAGTGAAAATGTTGTTCCTTCGATCACCGCACCGGCCACCAAAGTCGGCGGCCAAGTTCAATTGGTGCGAACGGTCAAAAGACGTTTAAGTGCAAATGATATCATAATTGGGCCAAATATGGAGGTAAAACGCCGCAAGTTGAAAAAACGTTTAGAAAATGTTGAAGTAATTAGCACATCGTCCCTGGCGGATCTACCAAAATCGGCCACTTACCTCCCGATCAGCGCCGATTCAAAGCGAATTTCAATCACAGCATTGCGTTCAACACTCAAAGACTTTCCTTTGAAAACGAAACCCATTGATAATAAGAAACGTGGCACGAGCCTCGATTCAAATATGTTTGGCGAACAAAGCTCATCCGCATCCAGCCAACCGGACTCGCAATCAATTACAACGAGCACCTCTCTCATTAGTTCAATTTCCTCATCACCCATAAAAGACACATTAAAAGAAGAATCCATGGCTGATTTACAGTCATCGTTGAGCATATATTTTGGTGGCGTTGTTAATCGCTTGGGGAACGGAGAAAATTTTGCTGTCAAAGGTACGTTGGAGATAGATGTTTTTATTTTGTCTTTAGCTCATTTTCTTATGGAACGTTCGGATAAATCATAATTCCAACTGAATGTTTGATTTGCTCGAACAATTTGTATGGAAATATTTAACTTTCAGTGGGATATGGACATGAATTGTACCATTTAAGATTTCTTTACACGCAAATTTGTTGAAACGTTCATTTGTCAATTACAGGAAAGCGTATTTTATCGGATGGGCGACTTCAGTATTTAATAGAGTGGGACGGTGTTTCATAAGAAAATTAAAGAAAATGCGCATATTCCTAACCTCATGACATATTTCCATGGAATTGCGCGATGTCACACATAATATGGATTTTAAAAACAAAATAGTACAAGAATGCTGTACATTTCTTACCTTCATTATTCTTTTAAGAACAAATCATCTTGTTACATCTGGATTCGGTCTAATACTATGGAAATATATGCTGAAAAAATCATCGGAAATTACGAAAAATTTCTGTGGAAAAAATGTTAAATGTGAATTATTCAACGTTCATCGATCATATTTGTTGGTTCATTTCATTGAGAAGAATTTTTCTTTGTAAAATGTCGGAATATATCACGGTTCCAATATTATTTATTAAATTATTATCTTTTAATAGTTAGAACCTGCTTATTGAATTTAGTTCAAAAGATTTAATGACGAGAAAACAGAAAAAAAAAACACAGGGCTGAATATACAAAACGAAACGAAAAATAAACGAAATTAGAGAAGGCTAATTAAATACTAATTATTTTTGTATTAAAATTTAAAATCAATATCTACAGGTAACTAGAGTGTGTATATTTTTTTTGACCAAAATGGAATCGAATTTTAGCGCACACCTTTTAACAATTATATTCCAATCGACTATCGAATGAAAAAAAAATCACATGGAATTCATAAATGTCTAATAAAAAAAAAGATGTAAAATTATATAGTATACAAAGAAGTTTCATTTAAAAGTCTCCCGTTGAATGCGAATAGAAAATATGTTTTTTTGTCGTTTAGTCAAGCTCCGGCAATAACTACCGTAAGGTAATGTACTTCGTTTTATTTTGTTCGAATAAGTGAGGCATATCAGATAACAGCAGGAAAAAGTACTACGAATTTCGTAGATATCAATTTAGAAAAGATGACATTTGAAATGGCATTTTCCCCTCAAAAGCTGTTTTTTTGCTCACCTTGGTGAAATTTCGATGACACATGATTAGTGCATTTCTACATGGAAATGAACGTGAATTTGAGCTCATTCAAGCTCATTCATCATATTCGCGCCTGCAACACCGTGTATAATTCAAATGATATTCACGACTCGAAGTAAACAACGGTGCAGAACAAAGCCAGTTGAGAAACGTGATGAACAAAAAAAAACGTAAATATCGGGCACCTTGTTGAAACTACTTCGTCGTTTTTGTTATATGCATGTGTGTTACCGTTTATTTGCTGCGCTCAATCAAAATTTCGGAATGAATTAAGCTTTTTTCTCTGTTAAAACAAAAAACGAAAAAAAGTGAATTGAAGAAGAGAAGCAGAGAATGAATTAAATTATTCATTGAAACCAGAAGACGCAGTGAACGAAACACATACACAGACACAATGAATGACACAATAATTGAGAGAGAGACTGGTGTAGATTGAAATAGAGAAAAAATACAAAAAAAAAATTTATAATGAAAAGAAAAACTTTCGCCGTTTTATCGGTGTGGCTCACATGGAGCGCGTTAAGTCATACGTCGAAGACACGACGACAAGTTGGTGCTTGTCTGTTTGTTGCAAGCACGATGCTTTCGCGACGGTAACGCATTTGAGCAGCCAGTGCACGATCGATGTGAAATATAGTCTCGATCAGTCTCGATATAACCGTCGTTTCGTTTCGCTCATACTTTTTGTTTCTTCACGTGTGTACGCAAGCGCGCCAATCAAGATACACAAAACACCAGGCACACCGCCGAAGAGTCAGTGCGATTTCATTAGTTATAGCGAACGGTCGAGTTTTTCCATTCTTTCCCATTTTCGTCTTCTTTGCGATCATCACTCGATCAACCACACAAGTAATGTGTGGTCTCAATACAATTTTCTGAATTGAGCAAAAGAAATACCAGGAATTTTGATAGACAAAAACAGTGTTTTTAATCAATCGATTCAGAGAATTAGTTCACTGGGTAAGGATTAAAGTGTTATAAAGTGAATTTCTTTTCAAAAACCGTATTTTTTATTCAACTTCAATTTGGGATATAAATCGACACCCAATTCAAATTGAAGACTTACAGTTGAGATTTTTGGTTCAGAAGCACTTGCAAGTGAGTTGTGATGCAGAAAATTATTGGAAAGACTTGAAAGAATGAAGATGTTTTGTTCGAAAAAAGAGGAAAAATGGCGCCGAAAGACAATTGAATTTCCATTTCCGATAAAACCAGGGAGTTATTTTTCGAAATAAATAAGCAATTAATTAAAGTGTAAAATGTTTTCGTGTGCGTCCGTCTACAACAACTTACAAATACCATGGAAAGTGGTGTTTTTCAAAATTCATTCGTTCAAATTGGCCCAAAATGAAGAAAACAACGGAAAATGTTGCAATTGTCGCTTAGTTTTTACCATCGCAGCACAGCGCAACCATCTCACTGATTTTTTGTGTGATTCGAAAAAAAAAAATGTTCGAATTCTCAACCCGCCAGTTGGTTTTGATACGATCGACCATCATTCCGTCTGGAAACGGTGTACTTCAAATGATTATAACAATTTTCTTTTTATTCATTATTACAAGTACTAATCAAGGCGGAGGAAAAAACCAAATAAGAAGCAAAGCAACAATGAAAGAAAAAAGAGAAAAAAAGAGTTAAGTCGACAGAAATCGACACCGTGCAAAACTGCATGAGAGAAGTACGCATTTCAGTGAAAGTAAATATTTCTCTCGCAGAGTTGGGATTTCAGGTTTTTGGAGTATATTTTTCTCTTGACTCACTACTGTACACTTGGAAGTTGTACAATTTTCTCGTTGTTATTTCTTAGATTTATGTTTCATTGGTAAATTGCATTTGGCGCTTAAGTTTTTTGTACCGTTATACAAAATATATCGGTCGAACACCGAACAGAGTGTGAGATGAAAAGAAAAGTAATGAAAAATAATTCGGAGTCAACAAGAGGAAAAACACAGTGTACTTAACGGTATAAATACACGCGACGCGTAATTATAATATTTGAATAGTTTGCATTCAAACCATGTATAGATGAATCGAGCAAACAAACACCGTGGATGATGAAATGAAAGAAAATACAACACCCGTGAAATTGTTGCACGGAAAATCAAGTAAAAATTTTTGTTTTGTTTCGTTAGTGATAAATAACTTTAATTCCGTACGACTCTATATATAAATTGCAGTATGAAATTGCTACGTGAAGCTTTCAGCATCGTGATCTTCCAATCGGAATGTGTATCAAATATGAAGATATTTTTAATTGATCTTTTTTTTTTAAATTCGTTCTAATTCGCCGTTGATTGCTAAATTGGCGCTGCTTTGCACAAAACCAGCACATTTCGTGCTTGAAGATTCATTTCACGGTGTAATTGCACTTTTTACTGCAATACGAATGACATCAACATCAATACGATTAGTTGCCGATGCGTGTGGCCGACAGCAGTAGGTCGATTGGAATTTTTACGGTGCAAACACAATTTTTCTGCATAAATATGAAAATGCGCACAAAATCCGGGTCTAACGCGCAATAAACGTCAAAATTCATATTTAAACGTTTTGAAAAGACCTTCAATTTATTTTATCTGCGATATTGAAAGCAGTCATTACTTTAATATATTGGAGCAAAATTGTACATACGCAGCACCGCCTTTAAACGATTCAACTTCACTTGATTAAGCGAACATGGCTTGTACACACGTTATGACCTTATGGTTATTTCGATAATTTGTAAAAACCACGAGCTCAAACTGAAAACAAAAAATGTTTACATAAATTATTTCATATGAAGAGCATCGATTAAGTGGAATTTCCCAAATGTAACGAACTTGTGTATGTATGAATACACTTTCATATAACATCTGATACCATTGAAAATAGCGCCTGAGGTATCTCTTTTTTTGTTAACGTTGACGCGAATCCCGTCACCTAATTTTGTATTCAATCTTTTACGCATTCCAAAGTTTTGCTCACAATGAGCAATTTAAAACCGCGATTTAGATAAGAAGACATACGTGACAGTATCGTCACATCTGGTGGTGCTGGTTTGACATAACAAAAGAGTTTATTGCTTGTTATACTATAAAATCGTAAAGTTTTGTTTGAAATTAGCTATTACACAATTACTGTCACATTTTCGACACCAAGAATCATGTTTCCAAGAACTTGAAGTTCTTAGAATGGCCAGCATTTATGGCACAGGTGCAAAACATAAGCTATGCCGATTTCACCATTTTTTCTGTTTCAACACATTCGAAATGAAAATGCTAATGACCAAGTGCATGACTTAGATCTTTCGATATTTTCTATTTACATTACGTACCAGTTGCCATTAATTTATCTGAAAGTAAAACTCATGGACCAATTTTTCCAATGAAAACAGGTGATCAAGCGTTCAATTCTCGCACTTTTCACAATTTCAATTTGAATGAATCGAGAAACACAAAACCTGTAAAATAGATGATCATGCAAACATACTTGATTGATCAATTTTAGCAAAAAAAAAAAGGAGATTAAGAGAAAGAACTTCTTTGAGAGATAGAAATGGCAAAATTATTGGTCAAATGATAATAGGAATGATAAAATAATGAACATGAAACGAAATCAAATCAAAGCTCTATTAAACTTTCTCACTGCTTGTTGTGAATTAATGAAAAGCGAAAGAAACAAAAAGCGATGATGAAAAATATCAACAGGTAACATCAACAAACGGCGCGCGCATATAACTTTCTCCAAGCGCACGTTCGTCACATACGACGCGCGTATGACTCTGAAAATCTCGGCTCGGCTCGGCTCGGCTGTTGTGGACACTCATGTGAGCAATTGAGCAGAATTAAAGCTCCAAAGTAATCCATATATGCGCAATTTTTTGTTTTGTGTCTAATAAATGATTCACGCACTTCTTTTAAACTGGCAATTCGCTTTGCATTATTTTCATTCAACAATGTTCATCTCAAATCTAAATCCAAATCAAATCAGTCACATCGCACAATGGGTCCCGTGCACGATGCGCATTTTATGCGAGCACAAAACAATGCTGCATTAAATTTCCTAAAATGAGCAAAAACAGAGAAAAAAGCAGCAACATTACATTTGAAGTGCTACCAAATAATAGCGCGCAACAGTTGCTGCTGCTGTTAGCAGCAAGCACTAGCAAAAACAGCAACAACAACAACAATGAGTAGTAAATGCAATCCGTCAAAACATGAGCATATTTTTTCCCCGATGAATGGGAGAAATGTGTGACTTCAAATAACATCCGCATTATTTCTCCTAATGATCTAATTACCTATTTTAACTGCTCTCTTTTGTTATGAACGAATTTCGAAAAAACGAAAGAATATTTCTATTTTGAAACATCGAACCGTATAGAGGCGGCATGGAGTGCACAAACATCCGATAGAGATGCCGGCCGCTGCCGCTGCGTGTAATGGGCATTCGTGTAAATCAGCATATATGTATGTATTTATATACAGAGCTAAACATTTGAATGGTCTAGTGATTTCTTCTGTAAAACTCCACATTCACATTTATGATTTATAAATGATTTGAAAATTATAGTCGTACATATAATGGCGCTTTCTGCTATGCGCGATACGCAATGACCTGAAAACTCCATAAAAAAACCCATATAAATACGCATTTAAACATGATCCAAACACACCAAAATTATACACCCCGTTTTTATAGACTCGGAAAAACTAATAAAAAAAAAGAAGAAACACAAACCATTCGTTCTGATATGAAGCGTATACATATTTTAATTTTGAGTGGACACTCCACGGCTGAATTCAATCACATCATAAATGTCTTGTTCTATGCGGTGGCTGTGCTGCCGCATTTATTGGTTGAAAGTGAAAGTGGCCATAATCGATTGGTTGTATCGCGACCGATGTTCTGTTGCGTTGCGTGCAAGAAATCATGAATGATCGATCCGCGGAACCATATTCAGAATCGACTCAATCGGAATGTGTGGTATTGCCTTTTCGAATATTGATATTTTGATTTGAATCGTTAATTTTTACGAGGTTTTTTTTCCTTCTCTTTTTTGTGGAAACGAGTTACACCAATGACAAATTGGCTTCAATTTGATGCTCATTCATCATCTTAATTTCACATGTAATAAAGTTGTGCGCGGCATAATTCGTTTGGTTTTATTGAAAATATGCTCATTTTAATCGCTGCCACAAAAATGAGAAAGAGAAATTTTCAGTAATTTCTCTGGTTGCGTCGAGAAGGAGAAAAAAAAAGTGCACACTTATCACTTTTTCGCATAATATGCGTGCTCTTGTGCGTTGTCAATTTCGCTTTTCCTCTTATTTGATGACCATAGATGATGATCATTGCCAATGCACATTGAAAAAAAAAAATCACATGAGAAATTATCAATGATACTCAATCAAGTTTGATAACGATTTTACGTGCCATAGCAATCATTGCGATGCAATCGCAATCGCAATCGATATGCCACAGACGTGTCGAAACGCAACGAATCAATGAATGAATGGTTGTAGCCAATCGAAATGTATTGTGAAAATCATTGACGAAAAGTCATGGGTAAAGTCTATTAAAAACGAAATCAATTCCCATTTCGGTATCTTCTATTAGTTTTTAATACGTTATGTGTTGTTTTTCTTTCGTCTCTTTTCATTTTCTTCGGTTCTCTGCCAAGTCCATGGGAAGTGTGAAGACATTTGAAAAAAGAAAATAAACAATAATTCACGATTTGAACCAAAAGCGAAAATCCGAAGCGCGTGCGCTCATAGTCAGTGGCAAGAAATAGGCGTGCGAGCGGGCGAGTGTGAGTGAGAGAGAAAAATGTATGCGCTTTCTCTTAGCTCCAACTGAAAAACCTATATTATGCGCTATGTCCGAACGGAAAAACGTAAAAAATGCAAAAAGAATTATATGAAAGTTCAATAAAACAAAATGTAGAAAAAGAAGAAGCAAAAAAAAAAAACCAATTGACACACTGTTGTTGGCTTGATACTAATAAAACTGGAATTTATACACTTGCTTTGCTTGACCAAGCATAAGCATGCAGACTCATTCAATCATGCCCAGCATACCGATCAGCATCACCTTCGGTTTCGATTCTTTGATTCCGAGCCGATTTCTTTCGCAAATCATGTGCACAGCACAGTTTTATTTCTTTCGCTATTTCTCTCACTCTATCACTCTCTGTATTTAGAAATTACAATTTTCCATTTTGGAATTGAAACACTTTTCCTCCGGCAACGGCAGCACACATTTATTGCGCATATGACATTCATATAATAAATAATCTGTATCACACAAAGAAAAGTGAAAACAAGTGCAATTCACTTGGCTCATTTCACATTTTTCCCATTCCTCACCTCAGCCGACTGAGTAATCACGACGGATGCAGTTTATTCACAAATGCGATGCAAATAATATTGGTTTTATTATGAGTTGAACGAACATATATGAGTCCAACCTTAATTCGTTCTTTTTGGGTGTTTCAATTGTCTTGGGTTGGATGACGAGATAGATGTAAATGTGAATCGAATACTTTCGTTTCGTGACATAAAAAACCAGTTCTCTGGAAATCATTAAGAGCATTTCGATGCAACGGACCCAACGCCGTTGCCGTTATCGTCGTCGTCGAATGCCGTTCTTATTTCAACACAAACCTGTCCAAGTGAATTTAGTATGCAATTTTTGGTAATTTCCTAAAACAAAGCGATAAATCAATTTCTTAAGTTTCATTTCGATCGTGTAGAAAAAAGGAAATCGAAAAGTACTTGATGCCAAACGAAAATAAAAAAAAATCTTCGAAATATTCTGCCGGTCATATGGCATTTACCAAATACGATGCGAGACAGAGCGACGCGCGCGCTTTCAGAATTTTTTTTTATTGTGGCTGGTAATAAAAAAATAAATGTAAACAACATGGAATGTATAAGGAGTGCGTAAATAAAATCAATAACATAAAATAATATATGCAAAAATGTTCACGCATGTGGGTAGCATCGTCAAAATATCTTCTCCAAAGATTCATATGATTAAGATGAATCTTCTTCATTAACTCCACTCCCAATTATAATGAATCGACGGATTAATCCGTTGTACACAACTTGTTTTTCGTTCCCGTGATAACAATCTAATGTTGACAACTGAATCAATCGAAATTTACGCATTTTTCCTCGACATTCGTTTTTGTGTTTTATGATTTCACTTCCACAAATGGGCAGATTTTATTTTGAAATAAAATAATTTTAGCGATTTTATTAATGAAAATAAATATTGAAACGAACCGATTTGTTTGTACAAAACTAATTACTTTCTCAAATGGCCAATCCCCCAACGATGTTATAACAATTTATACCACTTGCCAAATCAATATATATTGTGTGAAAAATGTTTCTTTTTTTGTGTGTGTAATGTTATGTATACAATTACGGTACATTTCTCTCTCTTTCTCTCTCTCTCTCTGTTTTGGAAACGGTGTGATCATAAAACAATAAAGTTCCTTCATAAAAAATTACGTTCTTGTGGAATTTTATGCGACGCTTTTTCTCACAAATGGACACATTTATCCAAACGCTAATTAGCCACACCGTATAGCCTACACGGGAAACACAAATTCCCATCGAATGCGACAACGTTGCATTTCTTGTTGTAGATTAAAAAGCAGAGAGAAAAAGACAGACGTCTCTTTTAGCATTCACACACAATCGCAACGAAACGTGCTTACAATTTATTAGCGGCAAGTGTGTGTGCATATTTATTATTATTTGAAGTGGTCATTGAGCAAACACGAACATGATTTCTATTGTCGCGCATTGCATAGGAACACTTTAGCTACTAAATCTCTGACAAAAGAAAAATGAAGACTTAAATGCTTCATGCACGTATTTTGGAATGGTGTGAATCAAGCGATATGCTATATGGATATTTACTGTGTGTTATCTAATTTCTTTCTCTTTTTTTTTTGGCACATTTGAAAGGAATAAGAGAAAAATCATCAAAAATGTTCATGATTTGTTATGCGGTCGCTATTTTTTATCAATTCGCTGCTATTTTATTTTATGATCGGCATAAATTCACAGTTACGATGACTCTTTTCATCCGAAAAATGCCGAGCGAATCAAACAAAGAAATGGTGAATTGCAACAGCAACAGCAACATCAGCTACAAAGAGAAGCAAAAGAAAAAGACGAAAGAGAAGAGAAAAAAATCGAAAAAATCAATGGAAAAAATTCCAACAGCCAACGATTTATGCAAAATGATCTATAGACAAGCCGATCGCATTTATTGTTTCACAAATTTATGCAGTTTCTGTTGCTGCTGTTCGTTCATTCATTCATTCATTCATTCAATGCGCACCGGCAACCGATTAAAATACCCAAATATTAGATAAAAAAAGGCAGCCAAACGAAAGCAATAAGCGTTGCCCAAAAACGTGAAAGAGAGAGAGAGAGATACCAACAACGAATGAAACAATTATCGACAACGATCAAGGAAACACGACGTAACTGGCTTTTCTTCATTTCATGCGAAAGAGAAAGTGATGTCAGTTGAAAGAAATAATTTCGGCATTGGCAACAATAGCAACGAAAGACGCAACTACATCAAATCCAATGTAAGAAGAGAAAAAAATATTATGTCTTGTCCAACACGACGAGATGGAGAGCAAGAGAGAATGTTTCAGACGACCGAGAAACAAGCGATAACAAACAACAGCACAACAAGTGTATGCATAGGCATAGATGCTTATACCATTTACACATATTCAACACGTGAATGAATCGCGTCTGTAGTGCTATTGCTTAGCGTTCGACTGTCATTAGCGCGCAACCGTGATGAACAATTGAAACGCGATGGTAGCATTTAGTAGCGCTTACAAATAAAGCACACAAGGTCATTACACAACTAGAACTCATTCTATTCCATCTTCTAATGGTTTTTTTTTTCCTTTTGTCTTCGGTTATTTTTTCTTTTCTTCTCTTCTCTTCCACTTCTGGACACATTTTATTCGTTGCGATGTCAATGATCATTCTCACAGAAACTTTCACTCTTATTACGAATTTTCAGCGCACAAAAATAACAACAACAAGGTTAATCATACGAATTGAATTTAACTGACGGTGTCGAAGCCGTGTTGATATTTTTTCAATTCATTTTTAATTGACTGCATCATCGCTCATATTTCTCACTTTTCGAAATCGAACTTTTTTTCCTTCAAAACACAACACGAAAACAAAACCAAAAATTTCACCGAAAATGAGACGAGTTAGGTGTTGTGAAAATGTTCACATTGTTTATTGATTCAAAATGTAAACAAAGAAAACATGTGTTTCATGTAGGCTTTTCTTCTTTTTTCTTTTATTCACAGATAATTATCGAATACACCTAATTGCAATCAGCTCGACGATATTGAAAACTGCAAAAACACAGTCATCATGAGGCTGCCACTGATGTTTATACATGGTTTGCCTCTATTTCTGCTAATCACTGGAATTGCTGCTGATCTGGTGACGCTGAAGCCAGCATCGATTCGTACAGAGCTTCGCATTGGAAAATCGCTGCGACCACAAGATGAGCAGCAAATTAGTGTGACTGGCACAAATGGTTCGCCTGTGAATATCATTGTAAAGAAACGTGATCCCAAGCAAGCATCCACACTAATACCCGATAGTGCAATTGTTTCGAATACACGAACACGCGAACCAACCCAAACACATGAACGGATTACATTTCCATCAACAACCCAAGCAACGGCCGTCAATTTCTTCAAAACCTATTCGATTGCAGTGAATACAGAACCGAATCGAAAAGATGGAAAGTTCGATTTGAAAACGAAAAAAGATGAAAAATTGATTGAAACATTTGTCAAGCATATTTCGAAAATCAATCGAATCAATTCGTCGCGCGTCTATCGGCCACAAAATCTCGTGACAATCGATCAAATGCGTGGCGTCGAGGTGCCCGATCCGGTTGTGATCAATTCGGATGCGCTGAATTTTAGCTTTGAAAAGAATGCGGATCGCATGAGCAAAAATATAAAGCATAGCCGAGCCAAGCAATTGATGCACATTGGCACCGACGGAATACCCGTCATCGAAGGCATTCGCATGCCAGACGATGAAGAAGATAAGGTGAAAACGTGGCGAAACGGTCGTGTCATTAATGGCATTTTAATGCCGTACGAAAAAGGCTACGTGCCGAAAAAAGCAATCGAATTGGATGGCGATTTTGGACAATTGTTGTACGTTAAGAGTTTCAATGGTGAAAATAACCAGGAAAATGATGCGGATAGTGTTGGTTCGGGTCGATCATTTGGACCATTTACAAAAACGGATAACTTCAAACCGGATAGCTTTCCGGCAAAAGCCACGGGACCATTCACCGTTGATGATAATCTCAAAGTGGTTGAGAGCAGCGTTCGGTTTGACAATCGAAAACCAATCGGACCCTTTTCGATAAAAGACAATTCTCGTGTTGCCAATTCCAAACTAATCGATTACATTAAAACGATCAACGACAGAGAATACCGTCGTCGTGATTTTTTTCTGAATGAACCACAGGAACGATCGAACATTCGATTTGATGATGAAGTTCGTGAAGCGGCCCAGCCAAAAATGCAGCGTAGAATGTTGGAGAATATCGGTGAGCCAGTCTATGCTCCATCAAAATACTATTCAAAAAGTCCGAGAACACCGACCGAAGGTGAACGATCACCGATTATGGAATATGCGCATCCTGAATATGGTGTGAAAGCCGTTACCGAATCGTCTGCATCGTCAAAGAAACCCGGTAAAATTCAATACTACACAACAGACACGCAATCCGCACCGTCAGCGAATGCTCAATACAAAAATGTACAACCATACCGGCCACAACCGCAAAAGAGCGCTTATTACTCAACAATAATCGGACCACAAAAGCAAATTTATCCATATAACGGTCATGTTGCGCACAATCAAAACGATGATCAACAGCCATTTTACATGAAAATCGCCAAGCGCATGCATGACGGTGTTCAAAGTGGTTTCGATATATTCATTCGTCCAATTATGGAAGCGGGCAAAACGTTGACGCAAAATTTCGGATTCCGTTCGAACAATCAATGGTCAATGGGGAAAAGTTTCGGCAGCCACACCGATGAAAGTCGCCCGGAAAGTGAAGCATTGAGCAGCGATTTTGGTTCAGCCATCGACGATATTGATGCGAATAGTTCACCGGAAAATAAGATTCGAATCAAACGTGGCCGTTTTGTGCCGTCAATTCGACAACGACGCGCCCTAGATACAGATAGCTTCGACTCTAATGATGGCGAAAATAAGTTAATGGACGACGGCAGCAGTTTATCGTTTCGAATGAAAGAGTTCATTAGGAGCACCGATTGGACGAACACTGGTTGCGCCAAACGAATGTTCTGCGAGGTAATGATTCAACAGTCGCCCGACGATATCGCCATAATGGAGAAAAAAATGCTCAGCATTTTGCCACCGTAAGTAATCTTGTTCATCGTTGTTGTTGTTGTTTTTTTTCACTCTAAATTTATTTTCATTGATCGAACCTCGAAAAACATGGTCAACAATTTAACTCAATCTCGTTCTTTCTCGATCCAACAAACAAATACATACAGGCAAGAAGAATCACAAGAAACCAGCAGCAATAACAGTATACGCGTGTTCAGACATCTTTCAGATGTTACCAAGGCAATTCAACAGAGAAACTGTGCAAGGTTCATTTGTCAGGCTCAACAGTAAACAAACAACAGAACACACACACACTTAAGAAAAACAAAACGCATTTCAATTTCAGACGATGAAGAAAACAAATTTTCTTCTCTTTTCATTGTATTTAAATAATAAGGCGAACGCAATATTTTCTCTATCTCTCCTACGAAATGATACACGAACTGTTCATATTATTAATATCATATTTATTCGTTTAGATCTGTAATTTGAAACGTAATTTTTAAAGAAAGAAAAAAAAAAGAACAATATGTGGTACATTTTATCGATAAATCAAGCGAATATCTGCCAAAAAAAAACACAGTAGCATTTTAAGAATGTTTTTTTTTTCATTCATTTGTAAGCTGTATTTAAATCGGGTAAAATAAATTTAATTTAATACAAGTTTAAAGTTGGGTTTTCACTTCATTTTTGTTTCTCTCGAATGTTTGAATTAATTTGATCGTGACGATGAGATAAAAACGATCAAAATGTTAATGAAGCCAATTTGATTGGTTTGAAACTTTTTAAGCTCGTTTCAAAAGCTTTGTGAGACTTGTGTTGCGATGTTATGGCCATCTACTTGGAATTTCCTCTTTTATGGAAATGGTTTTAAAGAAGAAAAAAAGAATTGAAGCAAATCTTTACAACAGTAACTCATTCAACCAACGGATTTCAATAGCCAGCTTCTAAATGGCATTTGAAATAGCGGGCGAAAAGGAAATGATAACAAAACTCAAAATTGTTCATAAAATTCTTAATTGACTATCTTTGGTTTTAGGAGTAGCGTGTCGCATATATCAACACACAGTTGTTATAGTATAATTTCGGATTTACCGTATTAACGAATGAGTTCAGTGGTTCTTCGAAAATCATATGCAAAACACTCGGAAGCCCACAAAAACTGTTTGTTATCACTTGAGCATTTAGGTATTTTGTAAAAGTTCTAACTGTTTGAATTCAAAAGCGAACGATTTTTTTAGTGTACAATTGGGTTCAATTTTTTCTTTTTATGTCTTATTGATTCATATTCCATTCTTTTCTTATCAATTGATGTTTTTTGTTCATTTTATTGGTAGTTCTTATTGAATGCCAATTTGCCATTCCATGTTTGACATCTCAATCGAATTGCAATCACTCCGTTTTCAGAACAAATTCCAATTCAATTAAATTGTCAAGAGAATTGTCTCGTTTTTGTTCACTGTGCGGGTGTACATGTATATTGAGTTCAATTCGTGATCATGCGCGCGCGATTCCAATTTCACTTACTTTCGTACACCAGCAGCAGCAAACAAAAAACCACTCATTGAAGAGGCATTAAATTTGCTAATTCGATTCGAAAAGAGATATGGAAATGATTGTTCTGGTACTTGCCAAGAATGAAACGAAGGTAGGTATTGGCGTGTAAAAGCGGAATAACAACAATTGTTCGTTGCTGGTGCTAATGCTACTGCCATATAACATGTTATTTCTCTCTTCGTGCACGCTATTCTTTGCCGTCGTCGTCGTCTTCTTCTTCGGCTCGCTGTTTTTTTTTTTCAGCGCTTTGCTTTCTTTCTTCGTGTTCTTGTTCAAGAAGTTGAGGCTTTGAGCTATTCGTAACCTAAAACATCATCATTTGATGTTTCTTTCCACTAGTCAGTACACATTGAACCATCAAAGCGAACGCATCAGAACGACGAAAGAGTTTTCATAAATTCCAAAGTGTCGAAGGTAGTTTGAATGATGAGTTAGAAAATTTGGTTCAAACTTACAGTTTTTTTTTTAGTAAAAACGGAGTTGAAAAATACGAACGAATTTTCGATAGTCCTATCGATAAAATGAAATGTGTTTGGTTTTTGTGAACAAAAATTTAGAACGATTTTGATTGAAAACCACAGATAATACACATTCCACATATAGTGTCAACGCCCACGAAGAGAAATCCATTCGTTTTTATATCAGTGCAATAAAATTGATTGATTTTTTTGTTGTGTGAAGAGTTCTTGTTCTAATTTACAAAAAAAAAACAAGAGACGATTGGAAAGAAATCAAAGCGCAGCAAGGAAAGGAACGCCTTTACCACGAACATCGGCGTGAACATCGAAAACTAACGGTATGTATAATATTATGCATGCATAAACGATACGTGTTCTGGTTTTTTTTTCCTGGTTTATTCTTTAAATGGTTATGCGATTAACGCATTTCTCTGGTCATTCCGTGATCATAATAATTCTATATTTCCTCTTTCTCTATGACCAAGACGATTCTCGATGACGAAACTTGAGAAATATTTTCGTGCATTGCAAAAAAAAAACATCAATACACCTCAATTTGTTATGCTATTTTCGGTTCTAAATATGTGTGTGCGCATCGGACAAATCGATGATTTTAGTCGTTGGTTTTGTTTTGATGCGGTAACAAATAAATTAAAGCGTACATTTACCTCGCTTTGGCCGAAACATATATGATCCACGTTTTGCACACACTCGCAGCTCAAGCCATGATACCGTTACAAATTACCATGAATATGTGATATTTATGATCGGTTCAGAACGAAGCAAAATAAAAATCGAATGGTGCAGAATTCGATACAAATTCTTACTATCCGGCAGCCATGTTAACGGAGTGAATAAGTACAGGTTGGGATACAATGCGCCTAATTAAATTCAATTTGTAATTAACACATTTGGTTAAAAGTTTTTCTTTTGCTTACAAGACGATTCATTATTCATCGAGAACGGTACTCTTTTGTATGCGGTTCGGCATACACAAATGCACAAATTAAAAGTCAAATTGAACGAGTGTGTGAGAGAGAAAGATATTCTGACATCTTCTGAGATTCCAACTGCAGCAGTTTCGTTGAAAATACACGAAACTTTAATAAAAAAAAACGTGAATGCCAACATTAGCTCTACCGTACACAAGTGCCGGTTTTCTTTTATTACCGACATGATTAAATGCTCGCAGCATCTTTCTTACTTTTCATGCTTCTATTCTACTTTCCTTTGTTTTTGAGCAATTAAACGTTCGCATTGATGAACAATTTCGTGAAATAGTTTTGGTTTTAAATGCTTTTTTCTCTTTTTTCCTCGTCATAATTCCAATTGTAAACGAATTACTCGCGCGCGATTCACTTTAGTGAAACCATCAAAAACTCGTCTAGAAATCAGAACAATTTCAGAACATGTGAAAATCTAATCAAGTTATCAAAGGAGAGGAGAAAAAAAAAGAGAAAAGCTATTAGCAATTTCATAGCAAACATGTGTTTTAAGATTGCTGAGCATCTCAGCATTTCGTAAGGCACGGATATATCCGAGCATATCGACGACGCATACAGTGGCGTGCAATGCTACGCGCAGCCGCAACGACTCGACCGGAATGTGTATGTTGTTGCTGCGTGCAGCCACATCAACTGAACATACTTCGGTCGAGTCGTTGCGGCTGCACGTAGTAACACACGCCACTGTATTATACAGTATGCGTCGTCGATATGCTCGGATATATCCGTGCCTTACGAAATGCTGAGATGCTCAGCAATCTTAAAACACATGTTTGTTTCATAGCAATAAAATCAAGTACGAAGCATTTGAGAATGAAACAAAGTTGACGATTGAGCTAGAAGATGCGAAAAGCACGATCAAGATTTGATCAAGATCTGACTGTAAATGTCAGAAGATGATGGAGAAAAAAAACGGCAACCAAAAATTATTCTATTTTATTTGAGTTCACACGTTTTTCTGGAAATGATCAGATGATAGACCATTTGATTCAACCTTTTTCGATGGTCTATCATCTGATTTTTCTTCTTGTTTGTTCCGGAATATCTCACATTTTCATAAAGCATTCAATACTGTAATGATAGAGATCATTTATTCGCGCGCCGTGTAACGCCTAAACACACACACACACAATAATGTAAGCAGGCCCTATTTTTACACCAATGTGTGAGTGTGCCACATTGCGCCAACAATGCATCCAAATAAACACAACAACAACAGCAACAAAAACATTGACAACGGCAGCAGCAGAAAAAAGCTACACGATATAACTGATTCACATGTTATACCGCGGAATAGAATAAAGAAAAACAACAGTAACACAACAAGAATAGTAGTGACAGCATAGAAAATAGGTCGCGCCATCCAACTTTAATGGTAAGGTCAAGACGTATACAATAAAAAAGAAAGCAGAAAAAAAAAACGCATAGTAAATGAATACACACTCAGCACCAGCACCGTTCAAACACGTTTTGAATGCAAAGCATGAGTCGGAAACGAAGTGAGGAGGGGATACAAAGAAGATGAATACAGAAAATGTTTATATATGTTCTTGTGAGATAAAAATTCCAACACTACCGTAGTAATTCTACATTCTTCACTAGTGAATTCCACTGGTTTTTGTTCCATCGCCAATAGCCAGCCGACCACTCCACATTCATCTAGCTTAATGCATATGGACGCGCGCACGATAATCATATTAATGGCATCAAACAACTGTTTCGGATTAAATAACAAACGAGCACGTCTTCATCAAAACAAATACACATACACACGACGGAAATGGAATATATCTCGGTGTTATGTATCTTATGTGCCACTAGTTCAATGACTTTGCATCATTGCGTGCGTTAGGCCGTAGTCTTTTCACTTTAACTTTTTCACCTACATACCTGAGATGAATTTTTGAGAAGTAACAGTGATTTGGATGTGCGCGTGCGCGTTCACATCTAATTCACTCGAAAATAATGTTTATCATCAGCTTTTGATATTTCTTCTCTCACACACAATTGACCACGGAATAATCTTGACTTTTGATGATGCATTCTTTTTCACCTAATCATCTGGCCGGTAAGAGAAATTTGACATAGTAAATGTTTGCCCTCTTTCGGACAATTTCATCTTCAAACTTGGTTACGAAGTGCTTTTTTTGGATGCTGACACATTGATGGTCTGTCACGTAAATTCTATAAGTGACGCTTGAGTAGGACAAAAGCAAACTTTCTATGGAATATTGATAAAATAAAAACAAGCCGCACGCTACATTGAAATTGTGCCAAATCTTTTTTCCCTAGTTAGAAACACTCAAAATTGTTCGTTTTTAACTAAACTCTCATTTGAATTTAATTTTTTTTTTCCTCATTCATGTAGAACTTTCATTCCTCATTCATAGATCATGATGTCAATCACAAATAATTTGTTTGATTTTTTTCAATTTGCAGAGAATACACGAACATTAGTCATCACCATGAATTGGCTTTGGAGTTTTGTTGTGTTTCAATACACGATACTGTTGCTGCAAGGTAGGCCTGAAACGACCGGCACCACACCAACATCGCCCGAAAAAATCACACTGGAATTGGAACATCCGTCGTCAGTTTCAGCCATTATTACAACACTCGAAAATGGGCTACGAACTGACATTATTAACGCAGACACGAAAAAGCATTTGTCGTCCAGTGTTGCCGTTTCAGCGCCAGCACAAACAACGAAACGTGTCATGTCTACGACGGCAGCGAGGCGAAATGAAGCGACTAGAAAAGGCACTAGAACAACACCCGAATTGGTAACATTTTCAACGGTTACCAGTGGTGGCCCCGATTCAATTGCGAAAACAACATCAACAACAACAACAACAAGGTACCATAACGTTGATCACAGTAGTAAAGAAATAATGCATGCCAAGCAACTAACTGCTAATAATGTACTTTATGAAGGGATAATACCAAATTATGTTAATGCACAGTTTCAATTACCATTACTAAATAACCCAGAGCTTCTAAGGCAGTATAGACAGCAACAAATAAATCGTATAAATCGTCAGTATTTGGCGAATGTCTACAATTACAATCCGTTTTTAGCACAATTTGTAAGCACATCAAAACCGACGTATATAGCTCCAGCACCGCCTCCACCATCACCGCCACCACTTCTATCAGCAACTCCGGTTGCAACTGCACAACCAACCTATTTCATTGTGAATCCAAGCGATTTTAGCTCGATCGACACGGTTCAAGCGAATGTTGACAATTTTGTAAATATTGAAGGTCAAATCAATCCAAATCAATATATCAATGGCGAAACGTATCAAGTGCCTCGACCACCACCATTAACTGTAAATATACCATATCATGAATTTCCAACGCCATCACCACCCTTACTGTATAATTCGGCAAATATCACAAAACTGTATTCGATCATCGGTTCAAGCACACCAGATCCATACAACAACTATCAAGCCGTACAAACGAGACCAACACACACTCGGCGAAAAGTTGTGAAATTTAGCATTACAACGCATCGTTCTGTAAAATATAGTCATAAGCATGGGAATGGTCATCATAATATGAAAAATTCACACAAAAATCATCAGCAAAATTATGAAAGTCACGAGTATACTGAAAGCAATGTGCATAAACACGAATCACGGCCGGGATATGATCAAAATAAAATTTCAATAGTTTATAATGAAAGTAGTAATCAGTATTTTAGCACAAACGATAGTAAAATTAACACAACTAACCTACATCGAAATGAGTCAATCGCCGCAACGACGACGAAAGAATGTTTGATCACATCAAATTTGTCAAATTCACCAATCGAAAATGTGTGTAGTTCAAATGATTTGAAAATAATCATCAAATTTGATGGTGCTCCGGTGTCCAATGCAACCAAACAGAATGAGGTCAAACCAAAAGTAAAAAAGAAAAAACCAACTACGACAACTACAACGACAACAACAACGACCACGACATCCACACCGGACTATGACTCTTTGTCTTATGAAAGCGGTGAAATATACAAGGATGAAGATGAAGATGACGACGAAGAAGATCTTGGCATATTTGAACCATTCAAAGGGATTCTTGACTTTCTCCCATCAACGAGAGATCGACAGGGACAGCGAAGACGGCGACGACGACGAAGACAACGAAGAAAGGGATCGAAAGACAAACATGGAGATAAAGGTTCCGGTGAAATTGTCAATAAATATCAAACGATCATTTTGCAAACACCGCCACCACCAACGACAGCACACAAACCCGAGTTTCATTTGAGCAAAAAATCATTGTTGAAATTACTCGCTTTGATTCCATTGTTCACCTTATTGAAACCGTTTCTCTTTGGCATTTGGACGCTTGTTTTGTCCCCTATACTTGTGATTGCAATCGGTGGTATTGCGCTTGGTGTCGTTCTCTATCCATTTTTGGCAATATCAAAGAAACAAATTTTTCACGCATCACACCAACGATCACCCAGAATTGTCGTTCACAGATACCAAGCGCCGAAGCACGGTTCTCTGTTGCCGACTTCCGGCATTCGCATCGCCAAATGGACAAGTGGAGAAAGGCGCAGAGCGTATCGACCACCAAATCACAGCGCAAATAAACGAATTTATACGGGAATACAACCACGGCGGATCATTCCAGTTGGTCTCCGAAAAATGCAACAATCGCAACGACAAAGGCGTGACACACAATTTCAACAGTGGCTTTTGGTTCAGAATAATTTCAACATTCGCATTATGTCACCCAATCAAGATTATGACTATCGATAACACTAAAAAAATTGGAAATGTAAATAACACGCTTATTAACCATATGATCGGCTGGGCACCATTTGTATAAGTAGAATGCTTAGGGCTTATTTAACTGAATGTAAAAAAAACTAGAAAACTAATATATTTTATATGAAATTAAGTCGTTAGTTTGGGTTTATTGTGATACATTCAAATTGTAGATCGGATATGGCTTAAAAGTGGTCGCAAATAAGAAAGTCAAGAAAAATCATATTTTATTCATTCATACCAATGTTTAACCGTATTCTTTTGGGAAAATGCTGTAAAATTTGCTTTGAAATTTTGGTACATATAAGGTAAACAACGTAAACATTTGAATAACATTCATAGAAAATGAATAACAAAATAACCCAAAAACAAGCTAGCCATTAACATTGAAAAACAAAAAAAGATATTTTAAACGAGAAACAAATTAGAATATTTAAACAAATTTGTTCATCATGAATCATGCAACAATGTGGCTGAAATTCTCTATTTCGTTTCTGCTCTCTGCACAGACTCATCGACGAACCGAATGCTAAACAGAAACCATTCGTGACCACCACAACAACAGCAACACCAAGAGTTGACCCAGTAACGGTAGCAGTGACCACATTAAATGCCGAAAAGCCCACAATCTATGACATAATCACCGAAACGGAGAAAAACCAAACACAATTCTTAAGCCGTAGTCAACAGCCAGCGATTTCGAGCACGGTGTCGGCGCCATTGGCATTACCGTTATCATCACAGATTCCGATGCAAATTCAGCGATCGGGTGTCGATTCACCGAAAGCGATCGGACATCACGTTGAAATGCATCACAGTGGTCATCCGGGCATTGCGGAGCCTTTAACATGGCAACAACTCGAATCGGAAATGTCAATGGTTGATCAGAGCCTAAAAGAATCATCAACATCAAAAGATGGTATTTCAACTTGGATTTTATTGAGTGGAAGCGAAAAACAACCATCAATGGTCGCAACACCGGCCACAACAACCGTTGCCCATGTGGAAAAGGTTGACATTAAAGACGATCGTCAAAATTATCGTTTCGGTGAAATTCATTCTGGCGACAAAATCGTAAAACCGGTCAAAATGCGCGACTCAATGGAAAATAAAAAGCCGAAGCCGAATCCGGAGAAAAAGAATAGACCAACGAGCACAACCGTCGCGCCCAAAACAACATTAACAGCAAAAACAACGGTAGCACCATCATCATCAACGAGCGGCATTCTTTTGGCCAGCGATTTTATGAATGACAAAAACCGTCGAAAAACACCGTTAGCCAATTTGAATAAATTAAACAAGCGCAAAACGTCCACAACAACGACGACCGCTGCACCAATTGTGTCAATTGAAAAAGTTGACGATACACCCACAACGATTGAAGAAATGGAAACAACAACACCAGTATCATTTATAGTGCTTGAGCCAAAAATTGCCGGATTTGATTTACCACAAGATCGGTCGCCAGCTACGAAAAAACCACAGAAGAGTAACAATTCATCGAAGACCAAGAAAAAGCCAACAAAGAAGAATAAGGTAACAGCGGTCACGAAACAACCGTCGAAGGTGAAAGAAAAGCCGATATCCACGACCATTTACAACTATTTGTCACGCGAAGTAATGCCAAGTGTTGGTATTTTGGGCGCTGGAATTCTTATAACTGGAATCGCCTCTTACTTTTTGAGTCCATTCGGTGCATTGCGACGATCGTACGATGAAGCCACCGATCGTCAAGATAATATCGATAACATTTATTCGGTGAATAACGAAGAATATGCCAGCGAAGGTGGCGACAATGGACAGCACGAGGAAGAGGTATTTTCGAAATTTTTGGCTGGAATGCCAATGCGTGATGTGCCACGCTATGTGAAATATTTCAAGCCAGATGGACCACATCCAAATCAACCGATGGGCCCCAATTATCCATATCGTCAGCAAGTACGACATCAACAACAAGCTCAAGCTCACGCACAAGCCCAGGCACAAGCATCGAACATTGTACCGAAATATAGTAATCCATATATGCGTTATCGTACCGCACCCAGTCCTCATTACAATTCTGCTCAGTACAATCCACAACCAAACTATCCAACATACCGAAACCATCAGATGAGCACACAGCCGGCTGTCCAACAGCAACCTGTTTCACCCGTTTACAATCCGCAATTCCATGAAATGCAGAAGCAGAAATCGTTCGCTAACATGGACACGATTCTGAAGCATCAAACAACGATTTATGGAAAGGCATCGGAGTCAAATGCAAATAATGTGGAAGAAAAATCAATTGGAACTGACATTCAAGCGGCGGCGGCGGCGGAAGAGGAACGATTGCCAGCTGCCGAAGGTCTAGTGAGTGATGTAACGGAAAATGAGGCAATCGATGATATTCCGGCGAAAATCCAACGACGCACCAACACTTATGTGGTTGGAAGTGCGATCACCGACACCCAACCAGGTGAAGCCGTAGTTTCAGCATCAATGACTGCATCAGTGGATGGTTTGCCGTCAATCAAAGGAATCGTTGAGCCGGTCATCACTGTAACAGCCTCATCGCATGGTCCACGTAGACGCCGTCGTCGTGACACTGCAACTGTCACACAAAAACCAGCAAAAGATTCTCCACACAAGACGAACGTGCATGAAAATCAACAGTCAACAACGACCACCACAACAAAATCACCACCGATGCAGGGCACACGATTGTACAGTGCCACCGATTATTCGTACTTAGCCTCTGAATACAATATGCTCAGCGAGAAAATCATGTCATTCGATCGCGACTACACGAATGCAGAGAATGAAAAAAAGATCGAAAAGAAATTACACGCTGAATTTAAGAGCATAGCAAATGACTATGATGCGCTAAAGCAAGCCGTTGAAGGTGCAAAAGCGATTGAACAGTTTGAAAAACAAGTGCGAATCCGGGCAAAGAATTTCGAATTGTCGGTCGTATTGAAAACCGGTATTTCAACTCTACGCCAACGCATAAAGTATTTGAGTGATTTGGTTGAGCACCCGGAAGACGATCGAATCATTGAGAAAATTAATCGTCGCAATGGTTCGTCGGAGCTGGGCCCGACGTCCAACACGACTGTAATAACAACGAGTTTACCAGACGGCGAAAACGGTTTTGTTGGTTTCTTGAAATTGCTTCAGCTAAAAGCACAATTCGGCTTGAACTTGTTACAGAACATACGACCTAGTTTTGAGCGAGCATTTGAGGAGGTATTTAAAAGACCGTACGAAAAACAAGATTAGACATTCGCTCCGCTCATTTTTCTTTCTAAACTTATTCAAAATTTAAAAAACAAAACGAAAAACAAAATCGTCGTCGAATCGCCTAAGATGACGTGGTATTCTAATCATTAAACGTGTGCTAATTACGCGGCTTTTTTTAATCAACTGAAATTTTAGACGAAGAGAATTACTTTTATAAAGACAAAATTTAACTTTGTACGATGAACAAAAAAGAAGATGATGACAAAAATGTAAGAATGAAAAAGGAATGAAAATCGAATGAAAAAAGTGAATTTCAGCGGAACCGAAACGCTATTGTACAACGAAAGCAAAATAATAACCAATTTAATTCGATTCGGTCTCTTTTCTATTTTTCAAATCATTTCTGTTGTTAGGTCCCAATAGCTGACTGAGCTAATTTCTAACAAAAATCGTTGGCCGATATTGCTATTTCAGTTGCTTTTCTTCTCTAAAGTAGAATTAGTTACGCTATAATTTCACATTTATCTTTAGCGTCAATGTCTGTTTGCAAACAAATGGAAATTATCGATTTTATTCTTAAGTTATTTATTGGATGAAAAACAAAAATCTAATGAACATTTTCAATTCGCATTATTACGGCTTTATTTATTTTAATGTAGAGAAGAACAAACAAACAATCAACTTACAATTAAGTAAACTCTCCAAATATAATAGTTTTAAGCCTCACTCATATACAAATCATATCAAATGCACGAAACACTAACATGAAAGATGAATGAATGATATTTTGACTTTGGAATAAGCTCTTAACTCTTTCATTCACACGTGGTGGCTCTTTTCTTTTGTAGGAGATTCCAAAATGTTTTGAATCATAAGATTGTACTAGCTTATATCAAACTGATCTGTTTCTATGGAATAAAATCTTAAAATAAAGATGCTACGTTTTTTTATTAGTATTTTTGCGAACATTTTCCTGATAGATGGCGAACTCAATGGGTAACATAAGAACATTTTTCATACACAATTGCTTGCCATACATTTTTTTGTTTTTCCTGTTTGCTCTGTAAAGCGATACAATTCAAAATTCTGCACAAGTAAGGAGATCTTTTTTTTTGCATTTGCCAATGTTTTTGAAGTGATTGCCGTTATCCTAGATATGGGTGCTATTAAAGGCGAAATGCTTGTTTTGATGAATTTAAGAATTGTTCCATTTCCTGAACGAGGCAAAGTAATCGTATCGATTAATCCATCGTACACGTCTCTTCATTCTAGCCAAAAATTTCATCGCTTTGGTCACTTCAAATGTACAACAGTCATTTTTATTCATATAATTCTCTGATTTCGTGTGGAATCGCTGATTAAGAAGTTATACATATAGTTCAATTTCCATTTTTCGCAAATTGTATTAAAATTATCAGGTAAGTGGTGATTGCAGCACAAATGGATGTCAAAATTTGCCTGTCGACGGTACACAATCCGAAAGCGGTAAAGTAATGCTTATGGTCGGCGAGCAATTGTCGCCAAAAGCGTTGCAACTAATGGGAAGAGAAACAAATTATTGCCTGATTGTAAAATTCAGAAGACTAAAAGCAAATTACTCACAATTGACTCTATCGAACTGTCTTTGCAATTTCTTTGCGCTTCACAAACAATGTTTATTGTTTCATTTGCCTGTACACATGTAACAGTGTATGTTATGAATCGGAAATTTTATTGAAAGTAAACACGTATTAAGGAATACGGTGCACAAATTAGACTATTGGACAAACTTTTCCAGAATATCTTTTCAAAATGGAATGTTTATGTGCAAATTTTCTAGATACTTTAGAAGGGTGAGTGTGTCAAAATAAAATCAAAATGTGGAAAGTTCTTTGTGCAAAGTCTCAATCCACTGGATTTTATTCAACTCACTTCAGATGACATTTTGTGACATGGTTCGACGATCAAAAGCAGCCGTAATATGTGAAAACAACACCATAGCAATAGCATACACGTGGCAAAAATGTCCTAGATCAAACAGCAAAGAATTCACAAAATGTAACAAATATGTCATTGAAAATTGAAATAGAAAAATCATGCAAATAGACACCGCCTCTGTGATGAGCTCAACGAATAAAAAGTAGCATGTTGACACAAGGGTAAGTAAGCAGGACATCAACATCAGCACCATTGTCATTCCGAAAGCACTTCTCATAAAGTTTCGAATAAGTATTTGGAAAAAAATGCACGTAATGTGTAACAAACTCGTTATAAACTCATTTTATTGTTAAAACTAAAGCAAAAAAGCTTGAAAATAACTCACCTTGATATTGTTGCTACTGTTTTACCTAAAATGGCATGATAACACATCAGTTGGTTTAGAAATGTCGCTGTTGAAAAATCCGCTGAGTATTTGCTCACGTCGAAAATGAATGCATTGATTTTGTCTGGAATTGGTTGTGGTGTTATTTTCGCCACTGGACGTTTAAGTGTATTTATGTTGGAAGATAGGGAAATTTCGTCTTTTGTTTTCATTGTCAAAGCTTCTCTTGTGTTTTGCACGTCCTTTGACATGACCTTCAGCTGATCCGAAACCGCCAGTACTTTATCTAAGTTTGAATATTTTGAGTATTCATTAAATTAATCAATTTGAATCGATAATTGCAAGGAGTTTACCAAATGGAAACAGGTGCTTGATAGCTAAATTCAGCCGATGATATCGCCTTTGCATACCAAGGACAGTTTGCGCCAATTGCGTGTGCAATGCCATTAAAACGTAGTACTGCACATAAAATGGAAGGTAGGATTCCATGTTTATACGGGCAGTAACTGAAAAATGAATTCATAAACAATTTGTTTGTATGTTTTATGAAATTTGTGTGTTCCGTCTTCAGTTTGACATCAGCTTATTATGAAAGCGTGCAATATCTGGAGATCTGAATTGAAAAAAATCCAAACTCTTAGCAGAAAATGCAAACATCGATAACTTTAAAAGTTTTTCAAGTTTAAATGAATAAAAAAGAATGTTCGATTTCACGAATCACAAAATCTATTGTTGCTCAAAGTTCAAAAAGAAACAGAAATGGCGATCCCAATTTGCCAAGTTACCATCTTGTAGCTTTGCTCTGAAATTTTCAGCACTTCGCCATTTGAATACAATATCCAAAGCAAGCATCACTGTCATAATCACAAATACAATTGCTACCATTATGAAATTTCTCCTTTTGTCTTTCTTCATATCGTCATCGAACATTGACAATTCGTCGTCAATCTAAAATTATTTTGGCTCATTAGTCGTTTTTTGCACATCTATACAACTCATTTTAATTCTTTTGCTACTATTACTTTTCTCAGATTGGAATTGATTTTTTGTATAAATTTCCGTGCAAATAAACCGGTCATGGCACCACATAGGACTGCACTCACGACTATAAATACTTCAAACCTTGTGACGAATTTCGAAGGTCCTGATCTCATTCTAATGAGGAAAAAATTTCGTTAGCCAATCCACTTTGGTTTTCATACAGTGCACTATACACTCAATGCGCTGTGGTGCAACGCCTCAAACTAAACCAACATAAACTTACCGAATTGGTGCTTTTGACTGTGAGTCGATAAATAAATATCGAATCGATAGACTGGCTAATTTTTATTGAAAAACAAGAACGAATTAATATTTTGTCCATTCTTTCGGTTCTTCACATTTGTTACCCATTGTGACCATGAAACAAACACTGTAAACGCACAGCCAACGAGATCGTCGAATCTCAATAATTCGATCTTTGTTGTTATTTCGTTGGATCAAATATGGTGCCAGACCAAAAATTCGGCTACAATAAAATCCAGGCAACGAACCCTCTTGAATCTCCATTACTAAATTGAATTGAATGTCTTTACTCAAAATGAATTTTATCAAGCGGTAATTTGAAGTATAAAGTTATTCTATGCAGAGCACGATTGGTCACAGTGTCACATCTATTTTCAAACATGGACTGTTGGTATTCTATTTGTTTGGCTTAAATTCTTGTCCACGATTCATAACCGTGGCAATGTGACGCCTCAAATGACGATAATATTTTCAAGATTCGGTTCCAGATAAGCGGCAAACGATTTCGTGATTGAATTGATGTTCATCACAGATCGTAATCTATTATTAAAAATGACACTCGGAATGGGAAAATGCACATTGATGACCTAAATGCTACCACTGATCACATCAATTAAAACGTATTAAAAAATCGATATTTGTTTTTTTATTTCATTTCTTATTATTATTTTAATCGATGTTTTGAAATTGCAATATAATCGGTAAATACAGCAGGGTCAATCCGTAATGGGTGTTGAAAAATGCAGAAGACATTTAAAATGCCAGCGGCATCCCCAGTGGAATGTATCAAATAACCAATAAAGTAAACCTATGTATGTTTATTTTTAAAACAATATTTATAAGTTATATTTGACATTTGACATTTTCATGGTGATTCAGTTCATCTGTTGAGCAAGTTTGCGGTCATGACAGAATCAAAGTGGTTGTAGTAAATTTTTCACATTGTGCATGATGATTATTGGAATGGAGAAAACTGTTTATTGATAGATTCCATCAAAGTTTCTGCATAATTTTGAGAGTGAATAAAAATGTTGATCAAATCGATTTGTAATAAAGCCAAAATACATGTACATTTGTGAAGTTTCTTTTAATCAGAATTTATTTAACGCTTTTGAAACGAAGATAACAGCGATTTGGACGATTTTCCATTTGAAAATGGCGTTCGAATGGTCATTTTCCAGCGAGTTTACTCGGTCAGAATTATCAAAGTAAAAACAAACGAATCCCTATAAATTCACATAAGCGCGACAATATTTCGTTCTTTTTTAACCCTCAACTGCATAAGCCCGCCTTTTGGCGGGCATCATTTAAACACCTGTATAATGTGAATCGTACGGCGGATGACATTGCTTCAAGGGGAATTTTTATTTGTCAATGTTTTTTCTTTATTTTTGTCTTTGGCGTCATTTGTTTATGTCGTACGATTGGTGAGTTATAAACAAAAATGTGCACGAAAACGAAAATTTGACAAAATAAATTATTCGGTTTCCAAATTAGACATATTTTTGACACTTTTAAACAATGGATTTCATTGTTCTCTGACTTATTTCTATCGCATTTCCTGACTAAACGATGGGAAATCTAGGATTATGAATATTTTTTTCGTTATCTATGGCCAAAAATCAACCAAATACCAGTACTCCCAGTCCTAGGAAAAATTCATGCAGTTGAGGGTTAATGTGTTTTTAAACATACCTAACATCGAATTCGAACTTTTTAGCATCGATTTCAAATTTGAGATTGTATTTGATTAATTTATGATGGAAAAAAAATGTAAAAAACATAGCAATTCTCGTTTATGTTATTTGTTGCGAATTTTCTTCGGATGTTTGATGCATTCAGAGTTCAGGATGTGTTGACGTAGTTCCGGTACACGAGCCAGTCCCAATCCACACAGTGAGCACTTGAAGTAGATTATGCCGACGGCTTGACGGATAGGTTTCAAGCATGATTTCTGGTGTTTTAAAACGTCTTTGTTCTGGCGAATGGTTTCATTGCAAGCGTTACACTTGAATTTGTACTGATGCAAATGTGTTCCGATGACATGCAAATTATGAGTCCGAATTGAGGCAAATCGTTTGCTGCACAGTGTGCATTTGTATGGTTTCGCACCGAGATGTGTCCTCATATGAGTTCCTTGTAAAATAGCAAACGATGGGAATATTTCTTTGCATAGGCAGCATTCGTAGACTTTTTTGCATTTTAACTCGTGCTTCTTCTTGTACTTGATGTGCGAAAACTCCTTGCTGCAGTAATCACATTTCAACAGTCCAATTTTGGTGTGAGACTTGATGTGAATTTTAAAGTTTGCTTCTACCAAATACTTTTTCGGGCAAAGGTGGCACTGGAACTTTGCTTCTCCGGTGTGTTTGGTCACCATATGACCACGCAATGACTTCACATCTCTGCAAGTCATTTTGCAAATGTAGCACTCAATTCGACGTTTCATACATGTTGCTTGATGCAAATCTCTGGCGGCTCTGCTGGTGTGTCGACGATTACAATTTGGACAGATGAGTGCGAGCAACTTAGGATGGTCTTCTGTGAGGTGACGCGCTAAAAGTTTTGTTGACGAAAAACTTTTCGAACAACTCATGCATTGATAATACTTTTCTCCAACGTGTTTCAATGCGAAATGCCGATGAAATTTGTTGTAACTGAGGCCAAACTTTGTAAAACCACACAGATGGCACTCATACCGTCGTTTGCGGCATTTATTCTCGTGTTGTGTCAAGTCTTCAGCGCTGAATAATCGTCGATGGCACTGGGCGCATTTAAAGTTGAACAAATCACGATGCCGTTGAATATGATGGGCTAACGCTTCGCTTCTTGGGAAAAATTTGGCACAAAATTGACATTGGAACGGCTTCTCTCCCGTATGTTTTCGCATATGCATACTCAATCCTTCGAAACTCAATTTTGCATACGTGTATTGGCATATATGACACTCGAAGCGACGTCGAGTGAGGCAATAGCTTTCGTGTTTCTGCAACGTTTCCTCCGTTACAAATCTGCCATTGCAAATGGAACATTTGAATGGTACAACGCCTGGATGATGTTTTTCGTGACACCTGAGGCTGCCTTTGGTTAGAAACGTTTCGTCGCAATGCTCGCACTGGAATACCTTTTCACCTGTGTGCTCCTTTCTCATATGCTCCGTCACCTTGTACATGTACAACCGTTTCATTTGGTGTTTACACAAGTGGCATTCGAAGCTGCGCCGTTTCACACATTTCAATTCATGTGATTCAATGTCTTTCTTGCTGAAAAACCACATGCGACACAATGGGCATTTATATCTTTTCTTCGTTGGATGATCGCGTTGCATGTGATGCACAAGCAAATTGCGAGTGATAAACTTTTGTGAACAAGTCCGGTGGGTGCACGCATATGGGGTGACACCAGTATGTAGTCTCATGTGCTCTTTGACAATAGATCGATTTCTTGACGTTGATTGAAAATCACAAAAGCGACATTTGGCCATTTTCACTTTATTTACCACAATTTCCAATGGCTGCAGTTCAACATTTTCAGACTTTTTATTGGTGACTCCCGTGGTTTTCTCCTTTTTTTCCACCTTCTTCGTGACTTTCGTTGCTTTCTTTTTATCCTTGCTCTTTTGTTCCACTTCCCTCTTTCTCTTCTTGGTTGGTTGCTTTTGGTTTATTAAGTCATTGGTCGTATCGTATGAAATTCGTCTCATCTCTTCACGGAATTCCATCATGGTTACATCGTCCACATCAACTTCACTTTTAATGAACTCTAACTGTGATTCCAAACCGATTTCGGCTTCAATGGCTGCCCTATTTCCATCATTTTCGGTGTATACGACAGTTTTGGTTGGAATAAACTCCATCGACTCGTGTTCATAGCCATTGTCGATTGGTTCCATTTTAATTTGTATTGCCTCATCCACATACTCGTCCATGGCATGCAGCGGTAATTCCTCTTCAATATGCACTCGACGCCGTTTTTTCGACATTTCAACTCGATTTTTAGACTTTGGGTAAATTCCAACAACCTAAAAGTCAAAATCACTTTGATTCATAAAAAAAAATTAATTTTCAAATCGAAGTGTTTACCTTACAATAGAAATTTATTCGATCAAAGTAGACTATGGGAAATTTCTGCCGCAAACAACACTTGGACAACAAATAAAATATGTTTCGATGCAATAAAACTTTGAAATGTCAAATCATCTGTTTGTGCGCTCAAACTGAGCCACCGGTGATGGAGAGACATCTCAGCAATATGTCATTGAGAGGCGCCAAGTTCAAACCAATTTAATATTACTTGGGTAACATAGTTGAAACATTTTATTTTTTTTTATTATAAATCAATGAATTTTTTGGTTAAAATTTATTTTAGCAGCATTATTTAAAAAAAAAGGAAATAGAAACGCGTTTGTTCATTAGCTTGTTTGTGGAGATTAACATTGTTGTTATGGTTAGTCGTGTAAAACATGCCCTCTTGTGAGCAATAGACGTACTGACTTTACGAAACATCATTGTCGTCTTGATTTGAAATAGAAAAACAAACTGTTTATGCAAAAGCAAACTCACAAGATATGTTTGCAGTTTCAATAATCAGAGTTCAGAAAATTTATTTCGTGTGACCAAACCGAATACATTTTTTTTTGGTTTTGCACTTATAACGTCTGTATTATAAACTTGAGATACATTCGGTTTAGTAACCTTTTTTTGTTGAATTTCAAATGAAGTTTCATGGCGGAATAGTTATGCGTTTTCTGGTGATTTTTTTAAGACTGTGAGTCACTTCTTTTCCTACTTAAAATTTCCAATTCACAATCAATTGTAGCATAAAAAAGAAAAAAAAATGAGTCAGATGCAAATGAATGCCACATCAACGATTTGCTGGCCAATTCTTCGTACATTTTCATATATACTCTTCGTTGCTTTAACTGTGTGCGTGCACAGCGCATACAATAGACTCGTGAGCTGCAATAAAGAAGGAAACTCATACATTGAACTTGACTAATTTTCTCGTTTGTTTAAGGGTCAATTTACTCTCTTCCGTTTTTCATTATCATCACAACGCAAACTCGTTCATTGTATGAATGTTTTTTTTTTACCTAGACCTTGAATTTTATCACTGCCGTCAACAGATTAACGAGCTTCAGTATGGGTGTATTCGGACGACTTGATTTTGATAAATGGCTCTAAAACTGTTCCATATTTCATAGGGTATATTTCATAATCAACGATTATTTATTTGAATCGTTCTTTTCATTGGATGAGATTTGAATGGGTTTATCTATTGAAATGTTGGTTAAACAGTTTCCATTAGAACTCTGCTTTGTGCTTGCTGATATCAGTAGTCTACCGAGTTCCAACTAATTGGAGTGTTCATTGATGCATCAACCTTAGGTTAAAATAACTTGGAATAACATATTTTATTAAATATTGTAATGAGAGGCTATTGCTCTTTCCATCGCTCTCATTCATTTACTCCTGAAAAAAAGTTCGCACTTAATTTAATCAAGAATTTGCTGACACTTCGATGATGGCATGAAATAAAACCCAATTTTATTCACACTCCAGTCAGTGCATTCCTCAGCTAAAAATACACACGAATAATGACGGTTTGTAGACATTTCCAAACAATTGAAGCGTTCGTTAATTGACCGTATTACTCTTATAAGCATGTGATAATGTGCAAAATTATGCATCGTACTAATGAAGATGATGCGGTCAATTAAAAGATCCACAGCAATCCATTCGTGCACTGGACATGTGAACACTCGAATACCATTCGAATTCACGAAAACAGAATCGAAGCGTGTGTGTTTGCTCACACAAAGTGAGTTTGGCCGTTTGTTTCCATCATTTAAACCGGAAGTAATGAACAATTAAAATTTCACTGATGACTCCAGTGTGTCAGAGAGACAAAAAATAATATCCCTTAATTGGGTGTGACTGAAAATCGTTTGTTGGAGAGAAAAAAAACATACAGATTAGATAAATACAGTTGTCGCGATTTATCGAGATAATATCATTTTTGGTGAGTAAGCCATCTCGATTTAACACTTTGTTACATGAGATGTGATCTAAAACATTGCCACATTAGTCGGGGTTCAGTGACTGGCGACTGAATAAAAAAAGTTTGGTTAATTAATTGGGGCCTGTGATGTATAATCGTGACGTCGTTGTCTCTGCATCAGTGCAGTTTGTTGAATGAAGTAGCAGCAGTGAAAATATATTGGTCATGTTGGTTGTAAAATATTTGAATCAATTGTGAGTAATCAACGTGTTTGTGTACAAACACGCGTGATCAGATTATTGCCGTTGTCGGTGGTGAACGTGCACAGTGAACTAGCCGTTCAGTGAGCGCAAATTTTTTTATAACAATAAACTACTATCAAAAACAATTTATTAAATTATAGCATAAGAGAGTAATACTTAGCGCGCGTACTGTGTCGCACATATTTTTGCCTTCAACTCCCACGACATGTAAAACCATTTACTGGACCAACACATTCGACCATATCAAAGGTTCGCATCGCATGATGAGATAGAGCTCTCAAACGACGTGAATTCATGTTTACAAACTAGTTCGTTTTCACTGCTGGCTTGGAAAAGCAAAAAACGCACGGTTGGGCATCACATCATCCAAACCAACACTTCAAGCTATTTTTTCCTCATTATTCGAGGTGGTTTTAGAACTTTGAATATTAGTGCAAAAAAAATGATTTTGTTTTCAATTGACATAGTCGTGTGATTTTACATGAAGACTGACTAAAACGTTTTAAGAATGAGTATGTTACTGCGAAAAGAGCTGGAATCATTGGAGCTCACGTATCCCAATGAAACTAGTGCTGCGTTGAATACAACTGAGACGAATACTACGTTTGGATCGAGCAAAGTATTCATGAAAAAATATCATTTGGTTTTAAATCGCTTGAGTAATGTGTTGATCCTTTTCTAAATTCTCAAAGCGCAACTTGCCATCACCTAGTGAAGAAGTCATACTGCGCTACGATGAGAAAAAGGAAAAGCTCTTTATGCGACCGGGCACCATCGACAAAGAACCAGACTCAATGGATACCATAATCAGTAATCCTTCGTCTTTTCCAATCACAGTTTTGCCACCTGTATCAGCTGGTGGTGCTGGGGTGCTCATACGAAATTCAACTCAAACGTCTTTCGGTCGGTTAAGTCGAATTAGCACCAATTCAAAGTAGGTATTTATTTTATGTGTGCACGAATTGGCGAATGTGATATAATTAGAATATTTAGTAAGCGTGCGATATCCCAAGTGAAATATTATCCATCCGTAATGGAGCTACGATTCGGTTTTTAGTGTACAATTTTGCTGCTCGAACAACGAGATAAAATTAAACAATTTCTTGAACAAATATTTAAAATCACATATTTTTGTCACAATGTCAGTTCGCCAAAAAGTGATTCAAAATTATTTTTCACATACACATGACTATTGTCATTCGGTCAAAATAAACATTTTCTGAACTGCAAACGCAGATAAAAAGTTCTTGTCAGCCAATTTTCACAACATGTTTAAATTCGTATGATGATTACTAATTGTGAACAACAAACACTCGATAATGGCCGCGTAACAGATCATTCGGTCATATTATCCAAAAAGTATATTTTTCGTAAACACATATCAACCAAATGAGATGTCCGGAATCAAATCTTTGCGCAGTTTCAGAACTTTACAATCAGCGAATGGATTTTTGTGTCGAAAAATACTTTTGAATATCTCAAAGATAATTTGTTGCATAGTGTGGTATTATTCACGAGTATCAAATTCGGATGTGTTGTGTATGCATGGACATTTCGAAGAAAAATGCAAACACGCGTCTGAATCATTTGAATGAGCGCGTAAATGTGAAACAAGAAAAACGGATTTTGTTAAATGAAATGATCACGAAAAATGCACACAATCATTTGAAGCCTGTGCTCCAATTATTTGTACAGTCCATAACAAAGGTTAATTAGTGAGATGTAAGAAAAATAGTATACGATTGCTTGCGTGCGCGATAAAGAATTTACGAAATAATGAGGCACAAAAGTTTAATGCTCAAATTGGTTCATTTCAATAGATTCGCGCAGTTGTGAATTACTTTTAACAACTAATCTGTTGTGAGGAACTCTCTGTACAACAAGTCGTCCCTCATTGTGCTTGAAATTCTAATTTGAATCGATTCTGTGAACATAATAAATAACGATTTGCAAAGCTCAAATGTACACATGTTCGACAAATCTCTGAAGTATTTACATTTTACTCACACATTTCATTTATTCCATTATCACTTCATTGAATGTGGTGTGTGACGTTACTTGATCGAATATAGTAGTTCTATGGAAATGCTTTTGTCCCACATTCAAAAACTAAAAGTTGAGTAAATCTCCAAATCAAGTTGATTCGACTATTTGAAACTAATTTTAGATATTTTCGTAAAAATTCTATTTTAATCTAAAATCAACATGTAATATTTGCGATTTTTTGGGGCAAATAAAGTCCAATATAACAAAGAAACGACGAGTACAATGCATACGATTTCACAAGAATCGATCATAACTAAGTGTAACAAATGAAGAATCCAGCAGGTATGTCGTTTTGTTATAGATAAAGGAACCATTTGCTTCTCACTTTGTTACTTGTGACCAATTTTATCGCCAATTTTTGGACAATTGAAACGATCTAGCGTCAATACTTCAACTGATACAGAAAAGCCATGAATTGATATTCAAATAACACAAAAAACTGCCTTATTACTTGCTATTTCACATGTTTTTCATAAGTAGCTCCCAACGCAGATGATACAGAACTGCGTTGTTTACATTCTACGGACAAGGAGCCGGACGAACAACAACAACAGCACAAGAAAAAAAAGAACGCAACGTCTCTCTCTCTCTCTCTTTCTCTCTCATAATGTATTTGGTCAATAAAACAATTATTATTGGGTTGAGAGTCTAGAAATGATAAGGCGTGCGTGGAATAAAAGCGAAAATTATACGACGAAAATGGCAAGTGATAAGTAGTGTTTGAGACCGCATTCACTCAGTTCGAATAAACTCCTCAATGTCGGCGTGAGTGTGTCACAAGACGAGCACACAGAATCGGAAATCTTTGTGCAAAATTTGTGCTTACATTAATCGCATTTTGCGTGTGTGCGATTCGTGTTCGTTGCGATTATTACTGACTTGGAAAAATAACATCAACTATTTTGGCAAATTTTATTTACGATGCACATTTAATCTTGGCTAGGGATTTTTTTCTGAAGTGTTTTCTCGGTGATGTGTTTCGAACAGTCGAATGACGATTGCATATAAATATTCAGTTGTTTGTTAATCGGTTTTTGCGATACGTGAAACTCGATAGCAATTTTGTTCAGAACTATTCAGAGTTGTGTGTGTGAGTGAGTGAAAATTGTCAAAAATTGTCAAATCCGAGATCATGGTTGAAAACAATTGTATCGATCAAGAGTCCGGTTCACCAGAAACCGTTCATGATGAAGATCATCGATTATTGTCGCTTACGACACCAGCGCAAATTTGGGCAAATTCGCCCATTTCTCACGACACAAGTAACACATATTTTGACACATCACCTACCTCACCAGGAACTTATTATACAACCATCCATTCGACTAGCTCACGAAGGTACATACGAACAAACATGATGATATTACACACAGCCGCCAATTAAGTGAGCTCCCGAGGTTTTGATTTTGCATTTCAAAAGAAAAAGTGTCAATTTCGCTTTTGACGGAAACTTCCAAGAGATTTCCTCTACACGTGTAATCGATTCATTCGAGTGCGATCGCCGCAATAAAAACTGTATCATTCTAGAGCTCAATAAAATTTCGATCGTCAAACGTTGTTTGAAAAGGGAGTTTTTTTTTTCTCGCTCGAAGCAATGAACTATAAGAGGTCATTTTGTGAATAAACATTTTTGTATTCGACTGAGAAACAGTCAACGCTTTTTATTTTGCTCTGATAATATTTACCAACGAAAATATCACGTAAATTTGCCATTTCTTTTTTTTCGAGTATCATTCGGCAATAAATGTTCATGGTCAGTCTACTGGATATTATTTTTGAAGTAGCAAAAAATATTTATATATTTTATCGATATTTGAACAATTCACAAAGGGGAATGTTGACGTTTCGCGCCACAGTTATCTGTAGTTATCAAATACCTTGTCATCGCATCACTGCTGTTATCACGATAACAATTGATTCATTCATGACCCCGTGCTGCTGATAAGCAGCCGCCGAACGGAACTTTAAATGGCCATGCAAGCCAATACACGCTCCGGTTAGAATATTTCGAATTGAGTAGGGTTTCAATTTTATGAGTCAGACAGATGTGTCAACGAAACGAAAACATTATCGTACGAAAAAAACATACGGATTTAAAATAGCGGTTCTTTAACTTATTCTAATTATGATTTATGGGACATGGAGACGATGCGTAATTTGACCGATAAATGGGACAATGCAAATCTCATTTTTCAAGTGTAAACGATGTCTAATGATCGTTCTACCTGTTGACAGTATTATCATGTGACTTTGTTACTACTCGTATGATCAACTTTCATTATTTAGTAAATAATCACTTGATTTTTTTTTTGTCTTGTAATCATTAATAGAAGCCGAAATTACCGACCGGGAAGCTACAGAAAAATTAGACGCCGGGCGGTGTTGAAAAATGGGTATAGTATAAAAATGAACAAGTCTCACTTTCATTTGCGTCATAATTATCTCTCACTTTTCAAATTTCGCAGTGATTGTAATGTATTACAAAAGAAAATTTCGCGACGGAGAATACGATTTTTGCAAGATATTTTCACCACACTCGTCGATTCGCAATGGCGATGGACTCTGATTGTGTTCGCCCTTAGTTTTGTTCTTTCTTGGCTTTTCTTTGCAATGATTTGGTGGCTCATTGCTGTCACACACGGAGATTTAGAGGAAATGCATCTGCCACCGGAACAAGGTATGTACATTCGTACATGGAATTACTTTTTTTAATATAAAGCATTGATTTTATCCCCATTTTCATTGAAATATATTAATTTCAATTTAAAATGTCAATGTAAATGTACTTAAAAGCACATTCAAACCAGAATCAGCTGATTATCACTGATTACATGGATCATTTTATATCAGATGCTACCGACATTGACAATCGTTTGATAGATTCATATAAAAAACATTTATATTTAACTCGCGTTTTCAGTGTCACGTTGATTTGTTATACCCTCTTCATCGTCATTTTTCAGCTGCTTCTTCTTCCTCTTATTAAAAACCTGAACTTGGTTCTATTTTTCTGTAAAATAAAAAGCACAACAAAAAAAAAACGTTTTTTTTTCATTCCACAGCTAAAAATGAATGGGTGCCTTGTGTTTTCAACATATACAGTTTTGCGTCATGTTTCCTATTTTCCATTGAGACACAGCACACCATCGGATATGGGTAATTAGAAAATAACTTGATAAAAAACCTCTTTTCTCACCGTGCCATTTCTATTTTCAGTGTGCGCACGACAACCGAAGAATGCCCGGAAGCAATATTTGTGATGTGTTTCCAATCAATTTACGGTGTTTTTGTGCAGGCATTTATGGTCGGAATCGTTTTTGCAAAGATGACGCGTCCCAAACAGCGAACGCAAACCCTGCTCTTTTCAAAGTACGCGGTAGTGTGTCAACGGGATGGCTATTTAACGTTAATGTTCCGTGTTGGTGATATTCGAAAGAGTCATATAATTGGTGCAAATATTCGTGCACAACTGATTCGCACATATGCGACGAAAGAAGGTGAATTAAATCCACAGTATGTGACTGAATTGGAAATCGGAACCGACGGCTGTGCATCAGACTTATTCTTCATTTGGCCCATGGTTGTGGTGCATCGAATCGATGAATCATCACCATTTTACAACATGTCTGCGGCGGATATGTTGCAAGAGAAATTCGAAATTGTTGTCATTTTGGAGGGAACGATTGAATCAACGGGCCAAACCACTCAAGCTCGTTCAAGCTACTTGAATATGGAAATTTTATGGGGACATCGCTTTTTGTCAGTTGTTAGCTACAACAACGAACGCCAAGGATACGATATTGATTATTCGAAATTCAATGAAACCATTCCAGTCGATACGCCACTCTGCAGTGGACGTGAGCTAGCCGAGTTTTATAAAATGCAAGAAGAAATACAAACACCCAGTGAGTATTGATGCCGGCCCATTTTCAATTCATCTCTTTATTTTGTATATTTGTATTTTGTCTCCTTCTCCATCGGCCTTGTTTTGTTCATTTTGTGTGTGTATCATATTGTAAAGCCGAACAAATTCTTCCTGCCGATGACCAATCCATAACGGCATCAACATCAATAAAAAATTAAACCATGTTATGTAATTGTAAGTAGCATTTGTACTTGTCCTAATTAGCATGTAGTTTGTAACTATGAATGATGCCGTGTGCTTGTGCGCGTTTTTTTTTTCTATCAAAGTAAAAATAAATGATTTCTTCCTACTTCTTTAGAATCGTGCCACTCGCTTCCTTCTTCTTATAAATTGTTGACGCCAACCAGAGAATGTGCCAGTGAAATGTTTATCAATTGTGTCCGACCAAAAACGTTATCGCTATTTCCAGATAATCGAAATTGGGAACAGTACCCAAGCTCCGAATCAAATTTACCGAGGCATCGACGTGACCTAGTTAATGAGCCCGATCATAAACTCTGAACAAAATGGAATTCGTTGCAATATTGATTTAGTTGTTAAAGTTTTAGAAATACAAATGATTGTTTTTCCTCGTTTGAAATCAGTGTGTTTTCTTTGATATTTTTTTTCACAGGCTAGCCATGAATATTATCAAACTATTGATTGTATTGTAAAATGGTTAGAATTTTTTACAAAAATTTATCATTGAAAACCACCCTACCGAGGTGAAGTTGTGTTATTCGCCAAGCCTCGCGTTTCAAGTCAAAGTGTTAAAAAAGAAACAAATTCGATTTTTTTTTTTGAAGTATTTTTTTTTATTTTTCAAAAATTGAAAGGAGAATTGAGTTTTGCATTTCAACAGACATTCAATAAATGTTTTTTTTTTGTATCTTCTCAACAATAAATATTTCTTGTGACAACAAATTTGAATAGTGAACAACACTCAACATTCGGAAAATAGTTTTTTTTTTGTTCGCTATTGATTTTTTTATGAATTTTTTATGAGATTATTTTCGTCACTATATCAAGTAGATTGATGGTACATGACGAAATTCTCTCTGAATTTTTACTATCTAATAGCACTGACGTGGACAAATTCATCAAAATCATCAGGTAATGAACAAATGAAGTTCCATTTAGTTATATACTCTATATTCATATGAAATATGTCTTCATTTTAATTGACATTAGGTTTTATTTATGTGAACAATTGTTTGCACGGAAATTGTTGTTGTTGTTTTTGTTATTAATTTTACAAAACAGGTTCAGTGTGTATTTGTACGGTAATTTGTTCATTTAACACATAAATTGGAAAATCGGCATTTTGGTTAATAAAAAGGCATTTATTGAGTTATGGCAAGTGTAATGAAGTGGATTGATTTGTTTTAAAAATTCACGGTTTAACCAACTGTAGTTATATGTCCATCCACCCACCAGTTCGGGTGTGTATTATACTAGTTTTAATGGAAAAAGTTCAGCGCGATGCAAAAACCTATCAAGTTGTTACGTTTAACCGATTTATGTTCTATTCAAGTTTCTTTATTGTTGTGCTTTTTTTCTTCTTAAACATGTTTCGGAGTTTAGTTTTCATATTATTCTGTAACCTTCAATACAATTCAACTGGAGCAGACTCTAAATGAGAATTTTGCGGGGAGAAACTATTTTGTTCACTTAAAAATGATTTTTTTTTTTTTGCTTAACCAATATAACTTTACAGGCATATTTGTACCCTGCATATAGTATATTGGAAAGTAATACGTGTATTTCAGTGGCAAAATCTCAATTGCTTATCGGTTTGTGTCGATTGTATTTAGAGGTGCTTTCTATCAAAAAAAAGAGTATTGCTCCTAAACGTAGACTTTTCTTCTCTTCACAATTTTTTTTCAGGGTATATCGAAACATATTTGTGTTATGCAATTGATGAATTCATGTGCACAAGCGTTAGATGATTGTGATTAAATGCAGCGCTCTGCTTAATTTCGTAAAATATTCAAATCGCATTACCATCTGAACTTTTTCTTTGCTTTCCATTAATTTGGCGTGAGTGTTACCAATGAACACTGTTTTGAAACAAAAAAAAAATCAATTAGCGTGTTAATCAATAATTTTAATCCTGGTTGTGCCCATAATTTTAATGATACATTCGAAAATTTAAAGCATATGAATAAAAATATTCCTTCAATTTTACAGAAAAATAGACTTTTGATTACTAAAAATTAACCATGACATCTACTAAAAAATATATTTGCCTTTTCAAATCGAATCATCTTTCGTGTTATCTTTGCTTTGAATTAATCTGATCATGCTCCCGGCTACTGCAATTTATAACTTGTTTATTCGTCGAACTCTTGAACTTAATTGTTCGAAATTGAATTTTGTTTGCTGTATATAATCAAAAAAGGTAATTTGCTTACTAAAAGCACAAGCTTTGAGTCACATTGGCCTATGACGCATAATTGCAAATGCCAAGAAGACAGAAAAAAAATCCCTCAACTCTTATCTTCTATTTAACGTTAAGATAGCTGCATTATATCGTGCATCACTAAACTATATTCTCTATATATGGAAGTGAGGGAACAACGACATCGTTCCAGAGCAAGTTTCATTTTTATCATGATTGAATTACTTGCAAATTTGTAAAATGATTTTATTTTTCTGGGGGGAGAGATGGTGGAAAAATGACGATAAAATTCAAAGATATATTTAAGTTGAATTGTTGCAACGGGAAAACACTTATTAATTTACATTTCATGTTTGATCATTTGATTTTAAAATTTTCTTTTTCTTGTCTGCTGTTAGAATACTATCTACGCTGGCTGGTAAAGAAATATATTGGTCGTTTATATATACGATTGGAAACAAAATACCTCAAAATATTTATTATTTATACTCTTATCACCTACGAAATCGGCATCTGGGGACTTTTTTTCAGCATGAACAACGATACAAAGCCAGCTTAAATAGACCAATAATGTACCTTCTTTCTTTCTCTTCTTCTAACAAGAAGCCATGCAAATATGTGTTTTCATTTATAGTCCATCCATACTGCATTATTTCATTTCATCTTGAGTGTACTGTACACAAAGAAACAGTGAGCAAGATGAAAAATATATACCTGTACATTTTTCATTGTAAATTCAGATCATTGTAATAAATAGGGTGCAGTTGAGTGAGTATATTATAATAATGGTTCTGGATGTTTCACCATGGAAACTTCCGGTCATGAAGAATAAAAGGCCAACATATAGGTGGATCATAAATGCGATAGTGAGGTCATTATGACTATTCGGTAGAAAAAAGTGCTCTAGGGCTAAACAGATGATCCGCTGTAAATGCTATTTTTGTCACATTTTTTACTTCTCTATAATTACATTGATTGACTACAGCATTAGATTGTAATAACAAGTTTAGACTAGTGATGGGCAATTCGATCAATTCCACAGTAGATTTATGTTCTATTTAGTGTTTGATTTTTTGATATTCCATTGAAAGTGTTTATTTCCGAAAGTGGATGCCAAGTAGAATTCTATATTTTCGGCTTATCACACCGTAATTGTGTGACACCGAATAAACTTAATCTTACAAATACTACATAGTCTTTATGAAAATAAACTCCAATTCTAACATATCACTGTATGATTCAGTGTCCAGAACAAAGCCGATTGGTTTTACACCTCTCATCTGTATAATAGCAACATTGCTCGTAGCATGATTAGTGGTTTTGGGACGACGATTCACATTAGATTGTTAACTTATTGCTTAAAAATATGTTTAAATTGTTCAAAAAGAGTCGTAGGATAAAAGTGTTTGTTTTTGTTTTTCTGTGGTTTTGCATTATCTTTAAGATTGTCACACAAAAGATAGAACGTTTTTTCTTCAATGTTATATTTAGATATAATGTATGTGTATATATATGCTTTAAAAAGAGTTCAAGAACAATTAAGAAACAGGAAATCGATCCCATTATGTTTTGATATCGTACATCTACTGCTAACTACGGTTTTTTTTTCTGTTATGCACATCAAGAAGCGCATGGCTTCGTTTCGAGAGTGCAAGTCTTGTACAAATATCATTTTTATGTAGTTTGTGTGTATTTAAAAAGCGAGATAGTTGTAGAGGTAGAAAAAGTTTGACCTAGAATTGTTCTTGCACCACATCACAAAGAAGAAATCAGATGCCTTGTAGTGTGAAACTGAATAATAATAACATGGTGCCAGCACCAATGATAGCAATTCAAGAAATGTGAATTGCACAATGCGAATATAGGGCCAGTGATGTGCGCTCAATGCATTTCTTGATTGAAGGTCAGCATCAACTGACAAACAGATCTTCGATTTTTTCGTATTTGACTGTCCTTCAACTGATTTACTCCTCTTTAACAATACGAAAGATTGAAGACGGGAACGTTGCGATATATCTAGGCTGGTTTGCTTTTTTTTTTTTAATTGAGGAAGACAGTATTTGCATTCAAAATTGGATTTGGATTAAAATTTAATAGACGCGAGAAATTCTCCATTCATTTTGATTTGTGAATGTTTTTTGTCCTTTTTGTCTTGAAAGATTTTTTCAAATATTTTTCTCTAATTCTTGATTTAGAAATATTTCATTGGTTTTTATAAACGTTGTCAAAAAATTTGAATTCGAATTGTGCAAACATACTACCGATGCTTTAGTTTTCTTCCATTCATACATCAGGAATGTTTAAAATATAATTTTTAATTGTGTATGATCCGGAATATGCTTTCCGCTAAATCAAAGAAAGATGTGAAACGAACAAGTCAGTTACCTGATCGAATCTGACTTGTTTTGTGTTTGGCCATTGTTTTTTAACTCAAAAACTTTCTGAAAGCCTATCGTAAATCTAAAATGTTTTATTCTTATTAATTGTTTACGGTAATGATGGCAATTGCCAAAGTGTTAATTCTCACTAAATATCGACTCACCGCATGCAATGCTTGTACACGGTTTCTTCAATTTCTTTTTCTTTAAACGTAACAGGTACGACAACTCTCAATGATGATTTCACATACATTATTTCCGTTCGATAGTACGAATCCATCCAATCGCATCACTGAAACTGGATGTTTGAACATCACTTTTGCATCGAAATCATTTATAATATAATATCTACAATACTCTTTAAATTCATCACATTGAAACCCACCTACACCTAAATTCATTTCGTTTCGTTTTTTTTTTCTCTTGGAAAATAAGATGCTATAAGTGTTGAAAGCAAGAATATTTAAATTAACTAATTGTTTCCAACTTCGTTTTACATTGAGCAATTTATAATAAAATAAACAAATAAATTTGATCATTTTTCTTTTCTATTGCCTTTATCCTACAAAATATGAACGAAAATTTGATTTGAAATCATAAAATTGAAAGAAACTTGGTGATGTCCAAAACAGAAATTAATGGTAAATTTATATTTGAATATCTGAATCGGAGCCAGTGTCCTATCACACAAGTAATGTATTTGGTGCGCTCAAGCGCGATGTTCGTGGCTCAATTTGCAATGATTTCGAATACAATTCATCGTCATCCAGTAACAATGATCCATCGAGAAGGTAGGAAGTGACTTTGGGAATGTGCTCGATTTTGTATGGAGTTTGTTGAAAGTGACGAATCTCTCGAATCACATGGGCAAGCTAAAATAATGTAAATAATCATAATCATGGAAAATGTTATGTTATTTTTGTCAAAGAGATAGACAGCGCTCGAATGTCAAGACCGAGGAAATATGAAAGCACCCACAAATAACAATATTCATAAAAGGAACGCATTCAATCGGTTGAATGATTTCTATTCTTGACATCAAATGGAAATGTCATGTATTTATGCGTGACGCAATTGTATAAGTCCCTTGATCTTGTTACATTTCGTCGTGCTTTCTTATTATAGAAAAGTCGCCAGCATTTCTCTAATTAATATGTACCGTTTGTTATACTGACCATTCTCATTTTGGAGAAATTCAGCAGGCCATCGGGCGTAAAGTCGGGTGTTCCTTCTTCAATGAATGACAAATCAGTAAGATACATGCCTAAATATGGAATACAAGGCGGATCACAACGGTGTAGGGCTTCACGCATCGCACGAAAGCGTCCGTCTGAACAAACCACTGCCTGAAGTTTCGTTATAGTGTGTTTGATCTAGATACCGGAGCAAAATAAAAGCAATCGAATAAAATTTTCCATTGCGTGCTTTTAAAATTGTATGAATAATAAATTCAGGATAGAAAAAATCCATGCACGAACCGTTTTTGGTACTTTATCCCATGTTTTCTTCAAGCGAAAGACGGCAGCATTGGTAAATGCAGCGCAAACTTGTAAAACTCCATTGAAATTGTGTAGGCAACGGCAAATATCAGCGACTGCTGTCCACTTTTCGATAGCCGCAACACGAGCCTGCATATTGTTCCTATATTGTTTGAAACCACAAATGAGTCGTAAATTTTCTCTGTGCGGAGGAAACGGAGATGGAGAGAAACATCAATTACGTACCGTGATATAATTTCCGAGCAAACAAGCCGTGAGCCATCGTTGAATCTTGTTGTCATTTGGGAAATGTGCTCGGCCTGTGTTTTCTTACTGGATTTCATCCAAGCTTGGCCCAAGAATTCCCTGAAAACGATTAAATAAATGATGAGCCAATTCAAGTAGGTGGAACGACAATCACAACGTATGTAAAGTTAACTGCTTGGCCAATGTCAACAAATGGTTGCAAATGTAAATACGGCCATGCTACGTATTCCCAGTCTAGGCATTTGATTATAATTATGTTACGGGCTCAAATATTATTGATATTTATATTTGTTTAACTTACTCGCTACGTATGTTTACAAATATCTGATGATCCAAGTACGTCATTTGTTCAGCAATTTCAAGGGCCGATAATGTTTCAATGCTTTCTTTGCTCGGTATCTGCCATTTGATAAGAGGAAATTTATTAATTTTCCAACCGATTGTTTTTTTTTTTTTCAGAAAATTCATCTTACGGTGGGTGGTGCTAATAAAAGCTGTAGTTTGAGTTGATTATGCTCCATATCTTCACGACACAATAGACGAAGGAGCTGAGAGGCAGCTCGAATTTCTACTGGTAATAAATGCGCACTTATTGTGACCGCTTCTAAAAATTTTATGGTTTGTGCTCTTAAGGCAGCATCTTGCTCAAAATCTTGAAAATGTTTCGATACCCAATGACTGAAACGAAGAAACGGATATATTGGTTTGAAGGAAAAAAAAACGAAAATTCTATGATAACACTGTGCTCTAAATTTAAAAAAAAAAAATTGAATGATACACACCGTAACACATTCAATACACGTATTGTGGCTGGCGAGCTGACTAATCGTTCATCGTTCTCCTTAATTGGCTGTTCGAATGTGTCGTCACGTGGATTGCTGGAAGCCGAAGTGGCTATTGCAAACGCCGCCGCTGCAGTAGACGTGCTACTCCTGATAATTCAAGCGATTTCACCGCGAAAAATCACAACATTTTTTAGTAAATCAAGAATTAATGTTGTTGCTAAAAGTAAGTAGCCATCATTTCATATGTACAGGTGTTAGCTTTTTGGCTTATTAATATAGATTATTATACTGTTTGCGATAAAACCTTTTTGAACAATATATATAAATATATACAGTTTGCATAAACACATACAAGGGTGTTCACACAGTATAGTTAGACGTTTGGAACGGCCACATGAACACTGTGGATTTGTGTGAGCATGGATGTGTTTTATATGTATATTTTGTTTTTGTGCATTTTATGCTTGATTATTATATACTATATATATGAACTTTCTATGGAAAAAAAAAAAAACATAATATTTTCTTGTGTGTTGTTGATTATAAGTGAAGAGGAAAAGAATTCAAAGCTACAGAAACAGTGTTGCTGAATAGCCACCTGCCCTTGATCTAATTCAATTCTAAAACGCAACTAATTTGCAAAATTACCGAAGAACTAATAAATTGGTGTTACTATATAAATTCGATCAAATTCGTTGATCACATATCTCGTTAGTATATCAAGCACATTATTTTTTCTATTTGCTACCAAATAAACCCTATAAAGAATTAAAATAATTAAGAGCAAAATCGATTACGCAAGCTCTAAAAAGTATTTACAGTGCCGTTTATTATTTTTTTTCGATTTATTAGTCATTATTTTATTCTTCGTGTTATTCACCAGCGCCATCAATGTTTAATGACCTATCTAAGACTAAAGTTTTTTTTTTGTTGGGGATAGGGAAATAAATATAGAAAAATATTTAGTATCATTGTCAAGTATTTAAAAAAAAAATATAAACAATTATAAACAATTGACAGTTGACAGTTGACAAATGAAATGTGATTTATAAAATAGATTTTCAACATGTTTGGAGAGCAGGAAAAATGAAAAGGAAACGCCCGTTGGGGTAAATGATTCCAATTTCGGAAAGAATGTAGAGTTCAGACATGTGTTTGTTCAGTGTATTACCAGGACAAAGGACAAAAATGGACAATATTCCAAATATAAATCAAAACATATTTTGACGTTTCACAATCCGGATGAAAATGAACAGTCACAGAAAAATTCTACATGATGATCTTCATTAGTCATTCCAATATAACAAGCTAAACCATCTAATGCATGCACATTCACAATCATCATAAAACTATGTGCTAACTATTATTATTGTATGATTATCTTTTTTATGATTGGTAAAGTGATGCGAAGAAAATGAAAAAGAATGAATAATGATACAACAAGAGAATATCATGTAAACTCACCACAAAGGGTCTGGTCCAAAACTGTTTTACGATGATAATAATAATAATAAATGATAATTTTGATCAAAAAATTACGGTAATTATGTTTACTGTCATGTTTTCAAAGAATAAAATAAAACCCAATTCATGTATTTATCCATCATAAATAGAACAGAAAAAAAAACAACAACAAGAATTTTCTGATAAATCTCAATGTGGCCGAAAGGATTGAATATATTTTTGTTGGAGTAAATGAAGTGGTACAATGTTTTTTTTCTCTCGACAAACGACTTCGAGCGATTCAAAAAACTGGAGATGAATCGTTAAATTAAATGATTTTATTAAAAAGTGTAGCTATTCTTGGCAATATATATAGTTCGATCCTATCGATATGATATGTAATCGATCTACTCTCCATTTAGTTTAATGATTCATCACCTATTGTTTTGAAATAAGAACAAAAAAAGAGTGGGTTCACGCTATATATAGATTAGACACGAGCTCGCTTCAATTGCAAATGGCATATATTGGCAACATTTGCACATTTGATTGCTGCCGTCGTTGTCGAATCCTTCATAGAAACGCTTAGGAGAGAGAGAGAGAGAGAAAAAGAGAGAAAAATAGAAAGAGTTTTACAAACACCTAACAAAAACGCCGTAACAAGTGTGTATGTGTGTGTGTGTGTGTGTGTGAACCAGAGATAAGCACAGTGGAAAGAAAATTCAGAACAGAAATCAAAAATTGCCAAACAAAACAGAATGCAACTAAAGAAACTTCCAAAGCGAACAATTGGCGAATGGATGCACCGTCATTTTAAATTCAGAACAAAACATTTTTTCGGTGGTCAAACAAAGAACAGAAAGAAACGTATTTAGAAATTGCAATTCCATAAAGAAAGTATAGCATTTGAAAGTAGAGTTGGTATGAAATTGAAAGAATAGTTATAGGGGAGTTATAGTTGAAAGGGGACACATTCCCGATTGCGATGCTGATAATGATGCTATCTTTGAGTCAACCTTACTTTTGACTCATTATTCCAATTCGATTTCATTAACAACTCGAACTGTAACACCTGAGATTATCAATTGTTAACTGTGTGTATACATATGTTTTTTGTAATTAATTACTAAAAATTAATCTGTTGCTTTTTTGATTCCTACGTCCATTTTGCAATTCAACAAAATCAAATTTTCGAAATACTATCATTTCAATGCGTAAATCATATTTTGTTTTCAAATTAAACCAATTTTACGCAAACTCGAAACCGTATCATTAGGCCCAATGAAGTAAATTTGTCCGAAAATAATGCTATTCTATATTAAGTCACCTTCTGTGTGATTGCCTGTATGATGTGATAACAACGCCAACTTTGCTACTGCATGGAATAGCGTCATGTTGAATGGACGCTCGCGGTGAAATGGTTCCATACGATGAGCCTCCGACCGATCCACGGGGCGTTGTGAAAAATGAAGTCGTATTCGATGTATCGTCATCGCTCTCGGAGAAACGTCTGCAAAATAAAATATGAAATTTTTCTTTACATTTGCTCAAATTTCGTATTTTCCGTACACTTAGTGTAAGAGAAAGTATAGGAATTCGTCCAGAAAACTTTTTTCTCTTTTATTCGGCACTAAAATCAAAAAAAAAGGTGAAGAACAAAAAGTACATAAAAGGGAATTTCTTTACTCACCTTGAATTATCTTTTGAAGGTGTTCCAAACAAAGTTTTCCTGATTTTTTCGGTTGTTTTCGAAGCACGACGGCTACTTCGAGGGCTGATTGGACGTTCGATTGGAGGAAACTGAAAGTGTAGAAATGTAAAGAAGAAGCATGATTCAAAATGAGGAATCGACGTAATGGTTTATATAGTATGATTTACATAGTATGACCATACCTTTGGACCAAATCCGAATCCACCTTCAGAGCTGCTCAATTGCAAGCTGCGTCGATGTTGTGTTAAAGCAGCTACCGGAACGCCAATCGTGCCAGCACTTGGTCTCCGATTCATTGTCAAGTATGACATCGGTTGTAGAACGTTGCTGCTCGTTTTGCTTGGAGTGGAGTGAGTCGATGATGGTTTGCTTCCCTCATCTTTGAGCAGCACACTTTTCGCAACGGCTGATATGATTTTCGGCTTAGAACTAATTATTTCCGTTTTTTTCGCACTTTTACTCGCTGTATCACTTTCCGTTGTTGTTGTGGTTGTGGTTGTTGTTGTAATTTTCTGCGTTGTTGATGTCTCGGCTTTAGGCTCACTTTCGATTTTATTCACATCTTCTTGAGCGGCAGGTTTTCGTTTCCGTTCTGGCAAAGGACTCGTTGGTGCGTAGTCTTTAGTATATGTGAATTCTCTCTTTTCCTGTGAACTGTCCTTGTCGTTTTCATTGGGCACTGAACCGGATCCAGTCGAACCAACGAGTGTAATGGAGCTCAAATTCGATGGAGATGATGGACCGCTCAGTAAATTCAATGGTGTCGATTCCCCGTTGAGTGTATCCATGCTACTCGAGGTGGTAATGATTGTGGTGGGTGAAAATCCGTGTGCTGGTGGCGTTGTGGGAGTCTCTTGATGAACCGATATTTCAACGGTGGTCGTTTTTTGAATTTTAACATCTCCATTTTTATCCTGGGATTCAGCCTGAGTTTCATCGATCGATTCGGTTATCCAAGTGGCGCCGTCATCAATTGAATATTGTTCGTTGAGCGTACGATGAGCCGTTTTCAATTTCAAAGCTGTTGATTCACCACTCATGGAACGGTCACGATCAGCACCTTCTGAACAATAACCTAAAAGAAATTATGCAATTATTACAGATGCTTTGGAACTTGGCACATATCCTCCCAAAAAAAATGGCATTAAAGCGAAATCAATCATACCTGAAACCGAACTTGCTCCGGATGGTCGACGAGGCGCCGAATGATCAGTTTCACTTTTTCCAGGTATGTTGAGACGTTCATTGACGTTGTCATGTGTGTCATTTTCATTCGGTTGCGCATCGTAAAATACTTTTTTCAGTGCATTCAACACCGTTTCTCCATCGGTGAACACTCGATACGTTAGGAGGAATGTGTTGAGAAAATCAATCGATAAAAATCGTAAATCTGCAATGGAATTTTCAATATTTCAGTGATTTTGCTGTCGAAAAAAGAGATTCATTCCATTTTATTGTACCTGTTAAACGTTGCAATAGACGTTCGGGTGTGGCATATCGAACTTGAGGTAATTTACATGAGTTCAATGTACGTGAAAACCGTATATCAATATCATCGGTGAATAGACGCGGATCCGAATGTAACGATAATTGTGGGCCTATAGAAGAAGCTTTAATAGAATTCACAATACAAACAAACAAACATAAACAATCACATTTACACACGACACCGAGATTGTATCACACATATACAAACCGATTGATTCAGTTGTTGGCGATAGCATTGTGTGCAAATGAATATTATCGATGCATTGCGAAATGTCCGAGATCCAAGCCTCCTTATCCTGTACGGTGGGCGCAACTAAGTGAATGCAGTGCTTAACATTTGATTTACTTTCCACGACCACTTTAAAATCACGATTCCCAGTGGAGATTGCTTCATTTACACTTAGGCTACTTCGATACGTGCGCTGTGATAATACATCTGGATCGGCTGCAAAAATTGTTTTTTGTTTTCTTTTTCTTTAATTTTTGAACTCAAAATGCTTAAAATCTGTATTTACCATCATCTTCTCGGTCTGAATCGTTTGGTTCTTCGATTAGATGTGCGTCAGCAAGCGGTATACGGCCAAAATCTGGCAACAAATGTAATCGTCCGCCGGACGTTCTAAAATTCAAAATTAATTCAACTTTATGCTGTAGCACAATTTGTACGAAAGAAAAAATAAACGATTTATCGACCTTACCTATTGGCAATTATCAAGTAATTAGAAAATAAAAAACATTGACGCACCGCCTCACGTTCACTCTTGAATGATGACAGACGACGTCGAAATCGCCCTCTACTCTCCTCCGGCACATGAATTAAGCTGCCTATGAAATTTTCAATTATACAACCAAAAGATACAAATCATAATGCAAAAAATTCTAAACACTCAATTTCAAACTGGGCAGAAAGGCCATTCAATGACGAGAAGAGAAAAATAGTTTTTGGAAATTGTTCATGCGTTTTCATTGAACACACATAGAAAAACAAAAGAAATAACCAAATCAGCACAAAAATATTCGGAAAAAAAGCTATCAAGTGCGGATGCCTCGACGTTATAAGAAGCGTTTACTTTAAATGATGACGTTAGCATAAATGCGAATTCTATTTCAATAAGAAATCTAACATCTCGTTGAAACATGGATACATAATATGTACAGTTTTGTAGTTATGGTAATGTGGCTCTGAGCTGCTAGAGAAATGGTCTGTATATATATATATGTGTATGTTTGTGTGTGTGTGTGTGTGCGTGCGAGTAAGTGTAGTGTGTACGCTATATGTGTGCACAAAAAACTTACCTTGGCGAACGAATACTTGATTTACATCGAGCAGTATATCGCAACCCTCAACAATCATACGTTCAACGGCTAAATTCTTGCGTAAATTTTCTGTTTCAGACACTTCGTCGTGCATTTGACGTGATAAATCTTCCAATTGCTGGCGCGCATTCAGCAGACTTTTGCGCTCGACATGGTCGTATGGAGTGTGTGCCAACAATTCATGCAATGTGATAATATATCGGGGAACCTGAAATAATTAATTGCATATTAGAACTTTATTGCCACTTTGTTCGTTTTTAACGAGACGGCGCGCAACGTTCGCCTTCGTCAAAGGCGATTAAGCGAACGATGTGGACGAGCAAGAGACACGCGCACACATACCTGATGCATTGGATATGTGAGAAACATTTCTAAGGAGCGTCCTTTGCATGCTGGTTTCGCTTCCAAGCGTCTTAACACAATGGAGAATTCGGCACGACTTTTACATTCTGTGAGAACTTGCAAACTATAATGGTGGTTGCGCACATATTCTTGATAGATGCTCAACATTGGCAACAGCATATCAAATAAATCGCCTGGGAATATCAAGGATTTTTATTACCAAGTGCCTCGGTAAAACAGTGCGATAGGATCAAGAAAGACATGGGAAACAAAACTATGTAATTTTACCCAAAACTAGTGTCGGCCATGACTCTAATCGTGATGTCAGCCCTTTCAAGAAAATTTGATGCAGAAACAACACCGTTTCAGAGTTCAAGAATATAGAATTGACGTCTTCGTGTGTGAGTGGCGGCCGTTTTGAGCTCGCGGCCATTTTAAATGGTCGCAAGAAACATGATACCAACACTTCAAGTTGTTCACAGTATTCCTCTTCGGCTTCGACCATACTAAAGACAAGACTATTTCGTTTTCGCATACTCTCCGCATGTGGTGAATTAATGTAATCGTCCACGATTTGCTTCCATCTTCGACGGCATAGCCAACCACGAAAAAAGCTTTGCACCTACCACCAAATTAAATTCATTAAATTTTGAAATTCCGTTCAATTCGAACGACAACCATGGGCTTTCAGCTCACGTTTGATGGTTTCGTGTGTACGCGCGTTACCTTTTTAATTTTCTTCAATTCAGCTGGCTCTTGATCCTCATGAGCGTGACAACACTCATTATGGGGACAATATGCGCGGCTGGTTTCTCCGATACTCCCCCGGGCACTGGTACATGCCGATCCAACGCCGCTCACTGCAAAACCACATTCAATTAATTTGATGTCAATTTGACTTCAACTTGAGTTTTATATCTCACCAATATCGCTCCCATTGGCCACATTACCCGTAACGATATTACTTCCGAAACTTTCGCGACGAATTACCGGGCTTATGCAAATCGACGGACGCTTCGAATATTCTTTTCGCAAGCTGAAAATCTATTTGATGCAGAGACAACGATAGCAGCAACAAAAACCACAGAAAAATGAGCAATATTTTTAGAGAGAGAGAGAGAGAGAGAGAGAGAGAGAGAGAGAGAGAGAGAGAGAGAGAGAACGTGTTGTAGGTATGTAAAGCAAAACATGTAGTTTCCATTGATTGATTGATTGGTTGGTTGTGTTAACCTTAATTTGTTGTTGAATGTCATTTTCGTGCCGTACCTCATTCCGCAATTTTTTAATTTCCGTTGAAAGTTCCTCACACTGTTGCGTGTACTGCCATTTGGCCGTTTTCTCGCTTTCAACCACTTGCAATAAATGAACGTGTTTCTGTTCGAGTTCCTCTTTTTGCAACAATAATTTATTGAAGCTGCATACAAATTAAACACACAAAAAGTCAGTTAGTCAATGTTTATAAAATGTCAACTCATGCAAAACAGCTGGAAGTCATATGGTTGACACAATACCATGAAAAAAGTTTCAATTTTTATTTTAAAAACTGTTGCGATAATTACCTTGCCTCCCTTATCGCTCCGATCCATGCGTTGCATTCAGATTCACTGGCTGCTTTCAATTCATAGTGACGTTGGTTCTCTCGACGATAGGAAATGGTAAAACAATGCTGCGAATGGTATCAGAAAAAAATATTTCAGTTGGCTTGATTGACAAATCAGTTGACTTTTGATAATGATGACATTGCCTGTGGCGTTGGTTGAATACGTTTGTACTGTGACGTGTACGCCACGAAGCCTAACGATGGATGTTCAGCATTTTCGGTTCAATGCCGTGTCACTCACTCAGTATGGAGTACAAATATCGAAATAGGCTGATATCGAACGTTAACATTTCAAGCGACTTTTATTGCGGCAATAAAATGATAAATTTATTGCTCTCTTGGAAATTGGAAAATCGAAAATTGAATATCGAACGAAGCCAATTTGTTGCGATTTCGTGTTTGTTTTAGATTTGCAACAGACATTGCGCCGAATATATTTTGAATATCCAATTTAATGGATTCGCTTTTTTTTTGTTCCAAATTAAAAAAAAAACATGACCAACGCTAACACAAACGATGTTGACAAGTCAAACAAATAATCACGACGGGATATGTGAAAATCGTATTTTCTTCTTTTTCTCTCTCTCCCTGCGAATTCATTATAAAGGTGTGGAAAAAAAATGTTGACTTTGAATCTCCGGGTGCTCTGCACATACGTACACGTACATGTACACATATTTTTGGTACGCACATGTGGAGCAAGCAGATTGCGTTGTTCATTTGAAGAGATTCCGTATATTGGATGTATGCCATAAATCTCGCATAAATGTATGAAGCTAATGCGAGTCTACTTCATATTGGTACAACGGGAGAATAAGAGACTATACTTGTTGGTTATAATCAAGTAACTGTGTCAAGGTCAAATTATCTTGAGCAATGTGGGCTCTTCAACTCCGAAAAATGTTCGTTGCCCCAAGTGTGCGTACGCTGTGCGTAGAATATGCTACATCCCTTCCATTGTGTACGTTCGTAGCACATGCTCGTGTCATTTTTCCAGTGCAAAGTAGGAGAACATTGATATGTATCCTATACACGTACATTGGAGAGAAAATGCTCAAGCTTTTTTTTTGTTTCTTTTCGTTTTTTGCTATAGCTTTGTCAGGTAGCAACCTAAACATATACCGTTTGGAGTATATTATCCGGTGATGAAGTAAAAAGCTGAACTCGATTTTACCAACTAATCTCTTGATATATTTTTTTTCATAACTCACATATACATATGGAGGAAAAACAAACTACACACAAAGAAACGATTCATAACAGAAAAGAGAGCGAGAGAGTGAATGAAAAAAAAAAGAGAAACGCAACAAAAACATACACACAAAACATTAATTTTGAGTGACGATCAATCTAGCTCACCTGTAATTTGTCTTCTTTTTGCGATGATTTTGCCACTGGTGATCCCACACATGCTGGCGGTGTTGTCAAACGTTCGCAATAGGAACCCTCTAAGAATATTATTCCAGATGGTTTCGACGAATTTTCATTATCGTAATAAAATAAGAGATTCTACATTTCGATAGGGAGATGGAAATCGAGAGAGGGAGATCGAATGAAAATTAGAGGAAATTAGACTACAAATTACATCCAACTAATTTAATTTAATATTATTTTTAATTTTAATTCACTCAAGTACCTGGTAGAGGAGAAACCATCTTGTTTGCCAGCGATTACAATCGGACGTTCGCTTTTGCAGATGACCATGCTTTTTATGGGAAAATAGGTGAAAAATAGAAATAAAATGCATGAGTCGGAGACACACCAACAGAATGTTCATCATAATTTTTTTCTTTGTTACTATATATACAAGGGCAATATGTAATCTATTATGCTATGAAGTCTATCCAGGTGTTTTATGGAGTCGCTCACTCTATCTCTCTCTGTATCTAACTCACTTCCTCTCTGTATTTGCGGCAGAGGGAGCGCGTCGCCGTTGCTCATTGTGTGCGTTTCGGATTTTACGGACAATCAAGTGGTGGAAAATAAATCAGGAAATATTCTATTTTACTGTACACCATCATAATCGTCATCATTGTACATGAGAAAGAGAGAGAGAGAGAGAGAGAGAGAGAGAGAGAGAGAGAGAGAGAGA